AACTTTTTGAGCCTTCAGAAGCCTTCTGGTTCCCAGCTAAATCCCAAAAACATAATTTGACTCACAAAAAGAAGGCCCGCACTACAAAATCCATGGAATAATCTAAACAATTAACAAAATAATATTGACATCCCCGCCCGTATCACTATCTGCAACATGTGAAAAGATCTGTATTTGAACAAATAAGCATGAGAAACTTCAAATCTTAAACTCCTTTTTTAGAGGAAAACAAGGAACCGAAACTTTTCATGATTCCATTTCACATGAGATGATAAAACTCAATGGTGGTCATGACTCAGCAGCTCTTTAAGGGTAGAACTGTAGTCTCTGAAAAAGCAGATCTTGAGTATGCTATTCTCCTAAGAAGCAAGTCACCTGTTAGAATTAAGCACTATGCCAGCCCTCTTTAAGTTACTGCTGAAAAATCAGATTTGAGACGGTTATGATTCAATATGCATTTAAGACCTTCGAATAATGCTCTCAAATGCAGAATGGAGAAAAATGGAAAACCAAAATATGTTTGTGTCAAATGGCACAGATTGAACTGAACACTTTGTAATCTCCTAGAAGCCTAAACCTGTTGCTCTAGTATTTTTATCGTCAGTTCCTCAATTTCTTCTTCCAAATGACTTCTGACAAACCAATCATAAAATTAAATAATAAACAAGTTTTTAAAAGAAAAAAAGAAGAGGGAAATATGCAGCCAAGGTGTAATCTCCGTTTATCTTCTTCTAACTATGGCAGTAACCGGAAAGGGTACAGTCCACCTTTTGTGTTTCTCTATTATGAAATGCATATATTTCAAAATTTTGGAGAGAGCAATTCCTCAAGTTGCACTGGAACAATCATGCTCGACTGATTTATGGCAGTTTTCCGCGGAAATAATGCTAAACCAGGGTACTATATGGCAAAAAGTTTCTTTCAATCCTCTTCTTTGCCTTAATTTCAATATATCGATTGCATTTCAACAACAAAATATGTAAAGCCACATATAAAGCATACCATGGAGAATTGGAACCAAATTCATAAAAAATTTTATATTTTCTTGTATTTCTCTATCTAAAATTTTAAATTTTGTTAAAATTTCAAACTTGGTCTCCCCGCATAAAACTCAATATTTTGGAGAGAGATAAAATGGACTTTAATTTCTGGGTACAACGAAAATTCAAACCTCATTGAATGGCTCGGAGGACTTGAACTGCTTGGGGGGCCGCCCCTGTTCTTCTTCGGGGGATTCCTCCGTCCCCAACTTCTCCACGAACTCGTCTCGAACCATCGCCGCGCCGCGGAGACTGGAAGCCGATTGCGCCAAACCGAAACATCAAGTCATTAAGAATCGGAACTCTTGAATTCCCAGCAGCAGAGAGGAAGAGATTCGCGACTTCTCGCGAATCGAGAGTGTCCCTGGGAATTCAGAATATGCCAAACCCATAGGGCGAATATGCATGCAGTAGCCTGCATGCATGGTTGCCGAAGGTCATCGTTGAGATAAAACGAGATTTGACTGCGATAATTTGATGACCGATCGTTTGATGGTCAGAATTGTGAGTTGATAGTTTTTATTCCTGTATTAAATTTTAACTGGTTATATATAGAAAATGCTTTATATATAGCTACGAAGTTTTTGGTACGATAATTTTTTGAAAATTAAATATTAGTTTATTTTTTAAGAAATAAAACTTTAAATTTATTTTCTAAAATTTTAATTTGATAAATTTTTAAAAATTATTATTTAGAGTTTTAGAATCTCATAATTCTTGAATCCGCAAGGATGTTAAACATTTCATAAACTTGTAAGATCAAAATTCTAATTCAAAAACAGCCCCCGTAGCTAAGTGGGTTTCAGATGAACAGCAAGCAGGGACGTTTGAAATTATTCTTTTATTTTTTCGGTTCTGGGATTTTGATTTTTGTTTATAGTGTTTGAAAACGTTTGAACCTTTGGGAGTTGTTCTCTAATTTATTTTTTGGTTTGTTTTCTTATTTATTTTATCTGCCTCTCAAGTTGGTAGACCCTTAAATGTTATATTTAAAAAAAGTAATATTTTCGACTGTACCTTTCTTTTTATTTTCAAGAACTAATTGAATTATATATATATATATATATATTTTCCCAGAACTAAACAAGTTATAAATATACTAACTGTGTTTCGTTTAATTCGGATAATATATTTTACTAGTAGGAATCCAAATAAATAATAGCAGTTCTCCGACCAGCAAGCAATTGTGGAGCAGGCAGGTGGACTGGCCGTTAGAGCTCTGTAATACCCAACTTCAGGTCCCTTAGTTTAGATTGAACAACACAACCACCCCACCACCCCCTATTAAAAAAAAAAAAAAAAAAAAAAAAAAAGGCAGCAGTGATGAACAGATCTAGATAAACTTTTTTTTAATCACTGCATACTGCAACCAAACTCGATGCTTCAAATTACCTTCATTTTAAAACAAACTCACTTTTGCATTGTTATAAATCTGAGAGGAATAGAGCTATGAGACTATCAACATTTACTAAAGCCTTGGGAGAAAAGTTAACCACAATCTGTTCATATTCTAACAGTATTTTCATTTACTGAAGAAATTAAGTATTTAAATCTACATAGGAAAAGAATTGCAAAGCAAATGAGTTAATTAGAAGAGCTGAAACATTTTGGCACTCCAGGAGGGGGGGGGGGGGGGGGGGGCGGGCAGCGGTTTTGGCGGCCAAGTGAACTGTTTCCTCTCACGAGGGAAATACAACTTCTAGTTGTATCGATTAACCTTGAGATATGGCAAAGCACCAATAACATTGTCGTAGTCACTGCGGTCAACTTGTTGCTGTACAAGACAAACCATAATAACATTAGATGATGAGGAGGAGGAGGAGGAGATATTGTCAATGGGTCAATGAAATAGCAGATATTTTGTGATTAATTTTATGTAGACTTTGATTAATTATCAGAGACTCGGAAAGGCAGCCTCTACTACTATAATAATTGAGAAAAAAAAAATCATCCAGTAAAATAATGCGATTTTTCTCAGAACTAACAAGAAATCAACCAAATTCAGAGACAGAAAGGGTTTTACAAGGTTTAAATCACCCAGTACTCAAAGCCAGGATACTGCCCGAACATTTTATAGCCTTTCACTTGAAAGCCCGAGTACTAATTAAGGAAAAAGATCTTGACTTGCTCTTTTCCAAGAAGCACAAACCAACTAGTAAGACCAAACTTTACTAACTTCCTATTACATAATATTGGAGACTTCAGAAGGATTTCATGAATCCCTCTTTCAGACACCTCCACACTTCTAATTGCACTTGGATCACCTAAAGAAGTAAGCAAAAGAAACCAGAAATTTGATAGCAACCAGCAGTGAGAGGATGCAATATAGCAAGTTGACAAAGCACATCCACATAGCATGATCTTCATAATTGACAGGCAAGCAAACTCATTTATTAAGCAGGTGCCCAAGTAAAAGCCAATCCAAAATGACAGCCAAATCAATGAAATATTTGAAAAGTGAATATGGCAGCCATCCCACACAAGGAGTAAGACAAAAGGTTCCTGAAATACAGAAACTGTTTCTGAGAGAAATAAGACAGGCTTGAGGTTTCTAATAAGCTAAAAACTTCTACATTATCTGCAGTAATGGGTGTGGAAACAACTCGGTACTTGAGAGGATCCTAGCTAACAATCTAGCTTAAATCTGACTATTCTCCTACTACTCATGAGGAATCTGTACAGGTTCTTAACTTTGTGCAACTAAAAATACCTCCTTCTAAATGCTAATGTATGAGGAACAAACTTGGTTGTTGAACTGTACATAGTGGCATGATGGACAAGCATCCAGGTGCCTTTTACAGACCATTTAACAAGTATGGCGTAACCTTATTGGATTTGGTACAAGCTGCATGACATGAGTGAAGGACGTGCCATGCATGGTCTGAATTGTAAATCAAACATATTCTCCAATGAGACTGCTAAAAAAGGAGTCAAGGACATCAAAAAGGCCTTGTAACTCACTTACAATTCCAACATATATTGGGCAGATCATTCCTTCCTTTCTTTGGACCATTTAACTTAAGAGACTAAAATTTATCTCAGGTTCATACTTGAGCTGAATTAGACTGTAGTTAAAACTTAACTCAACTAAAGTTTTCCCCAACTACAAGAATCCTATTTCTCCATTTTGCTCTATCATATGGTTAAAACTCAATAAACGGTCTATTAGTTTCTAGGATTTTAGAACTAGACAAAACTGTTGCCTAAACATGAAATGTGACCTTGCAAACTAATCTGCAGCATGCAAAATAAACTCCAGTAGCGCAGGATATATCCAAATAGTTTGCTATTTAAACTCAAGACAAGACTCCGAAACCAAGTCACAGATCTTAATGAAATATGATGTGAAACTGAATTCGGGGTAGTCTAGATTGGTAATTTGTTGCATTATCAAAAATCATATTGGTGCCATCAAACTTTGCCATTCAGTTAGGTTCTGCACCTCAATATGGAGATGTAAAACTGTCAACTTTTTAGCTGATAGCACGATGGATATTTCTCCACTACTAAAGGTTGATTCTTTTCCTTTACCTTCCTCACACAAACTACAACTTTAACTGACACGAAAAAACTATAATCCAAAAATCACTTTACTCTCATGATCATCAAAACGAGCACTAGAAAAATACTGATTCTACCAATCTAATACAATGTTCATGTCTCACACAAGACTTCCCACTTGGTATCAAGAAATTCATTAATTTTAACTCAGCAAAGTTTTACCCAAATAAGCTATTTGGAACAAAGGAATGACTGAAAGAACAGAGTTGAAGTCCTAAAACAGGAAACTGAATTCTGCACTCCTTTATAGTGAAAAGCATCTAAGGTCACAAGGTAGCAATTTTTGCAAATACAAGAAAAGGGTAAAAATGGCAAACCAACCAATGAAGCAAGTATTCAACACTAATAAGTATACAAAGATCAGAAAGTAGAAAAAACACTAAACCCAATTAATATCTCCTAGTCTAAGCATCCCTAAAAGGATAAAATTACAGAAACTAAACAAAATCACGCATAAAGAGGAAGTGAATAGATAAGGATCTCTAACCATCTTGGAGAGCCTCGATCTCCTCTTAGCATTCTTCTTCCTGAGCAAATGCTGCTTTCCAGCCCTCCTCCTCATAATCTTCCCACTACCTGTCACCCGAAACCGCTTCGCCGAGGCCTATAACACATACTCAAATCAAATTCATACCCAAATCCCTCGAATACGCCACAGATACACCCATACACAGACAAGGAAGAAGAAAATACCTTGTGTGTTTTCATTTTATACCCTTTAGCAGCAACAACGGTGAGAGACTGTTGGTTCGCGGCAGGAGAGGTGACCGTTGCAACTCGTTGAGGAAGAACTGGGCCGAACCCAGAAATGCTGTGGCAGGAATTGAGGCTCACAGAGGCTTTCTTTGCGAAGGGTGAGAGATGAACGACGGCGGGAGGGCGCCGAATGCCGCCCGACGGTATGCAGCTGAAAGCAAAAGAGAAGGTTGCTGACGCCGCCAAGGTCGTCATATTCTTCGGTTTCTACCGCTTCCGAGTTATGAACGTGATTTCCGAGTTAGGATATGGCGGATTCGGGTGGATGAGAGAGGTGGATGTGGAGGTTCTGTTGTGAACTATTGAAGTATGGGGGCCTCAATCTTTTGGATTATTTCCAGACGAGGACTTCTGATTATATTCATTTCTTTATTTACATTTTTTGTTACTACGGAGTAAGGATATGTGATTTAATTAAGATTTAATTAAAACTATAATTTACAAAAGATACGCGCAGACGCATAATAGAATTAGTATAGCAAAATGGAGAAGGGACGGGTTCAATTCCGGGTCGGGTTGCTTTGACATTAAACCGCCAAAAACTTTCTTTCGGGCAGGTTGTTTAAAATCAAATCCAAGTGATTAGAGTACGTCAATTTGAACTAAATCGATCAAAAATTAAAAATAATAAATTTAATTTAGTTTTAAGAATTTTTAAATCATTTAATTTAATTTTTAATTTTGTTTAAAAATAAAATTAAACTGAATTGATTATATTTATTAATAATATATATATTATTTATATATATTTATATTATATTTGTTTAAGGAAAACTTGATTAGATAATTTTTAAAGATTTTGTTTTTTAATTTTAAGATAATTTTAGTTTAAATACTTTTAAAATAGGTATGAATTTTTTTAAAAAGTCAAAAAAAAAATTATAAAATTGAACATGTCAACTAAACTAAATCGAACTAAATCGAGTCAAGTCAGTTTGATTTTTTAACAAGTACAAAACTAATCATGTCTAGCAAAATTTAGAACTGACACATTGAATTTAGTTTTAAAAAGGTCTAAAACTGAACCAAACAAAACCGATAAACATTCCTGCTTTCACGTTTTTTCTAATAGCAGTGATAAATTGTCAAGGTAAAACTGTTTTCCATAATACAACTCATTGCAAGTTAGATATTATGACAAAAATGAGTTTACATTACAAACCATCCCTCCTTTCTTCCATTATTTTAGATTTGCCAAACTTTTCGATTAACAGGAAGCAAGTGATTACTCGCTTTCAAACATCGCTTTCAAACAATAAAACAGGAAGCAAGTGAGTAGCCTAATATTCCAGCTTATGACAAGTTTTTAAGCAGCTTAGATTTGGTTTTGATGCTACGTAGCACCTACTAGAATATAACACCTAACATCACATCAAACGGCATTTAGTATTAAATTCATCCATAACCCCCTTGTTAAAACAGAACCAAATATGCCCACAAAACTCACATTCATATTTTCTCAAATAAAAAACTTTTTTAGCTCTTGCTGGTGGTTTTATATTAGTATCACCAATATTATTAAAATGAAACTTCCAGAGTGCGCTTTTACCCATATGTAGTATATTATGGGGAAGAGACTACAAGGGAGCAGTTGAGCAAAACTAACAGACCAAGAGTTATAAGATGCAGCATACAAAAATATGACCCTTCCACGGCCTTTAGAGATAGATTATCTTACTACACATGATGATGAAATCTTTTAACTATAAATCTGAGACATTTCTCGTTACAATTTGTCAAAAGCACAGATTAGGACAAAACTACGTCTGACCACCATCAAAGGCCAGGGACTACTCCAGCAGCAATTTATAGTTGGGAGCTTCCTTTTCTTCAAATACACAAGGAAGCTTTTAATAGGATCCAGAGCTATGCCCCATTTCACGTCAAATCCAGAATTTTATGGCCTTGACAGAATGGCTATAGCTTCCCACTCTAAACTACATATCACATCCTGCATTTCATCAATTAAAACCCCATCAAAATTAAGCAGATTTCCCAGAGATAATAACGTACGAGAAGGGTACATAATTTATTTCCAAGAACTAAATGGTATTTATCCCCTCTGCAAGAAAAAAAGAAGCTAAAGAAGAGGAAGGTCATATACAAAACTATTTCATAAACTTAATACTCACCATGGGATTCTGTCGGTCGATGTCAAAGCTGTTTATAGCACAGGGTTCTGCCAATAGCTCAATAGGCTCCTGGCCTGTCGATTGAATGATTAAAATAAATTGTTCCGTGTAAGTCAGGTGGCATACTGCTTGAAACAAGTGGGAGTGATAGAAAGAAAAATAGACCTGCCTTTTAACACAACGAAGATGAACGCTTACAGCTTAATAAATTATTTTTTTACTATTCAAAACAGATATAGAAAAGCCGATTATTACCTTGTTCAACAACAGCAAGTATACCATCTTCTGAGCAGATCATAGCAGGTAATACCCGTGAAGAAGAGATATTACCAATGCTTAGGGAATGCACATAACTGTCATACTGGACTTCCCATACTTCACTTTCAGCAGCTGACTGAGCTACCATATCACCAGTTGCAATCCCAGAGAGACTTATTGGCTGCTGTTGCCACCGGAGATCCCATGCAAACACTGTACCAGAAGAGCTTCCTGCCTTCAAATAATCCAGTATAGCAAATCATTAGAGAAAATTTTTTTGAGTCCTCAATCGCTATGCAAGTTAGTAATTTTATAGCAATACATATATCTATATATCTATATATATATATATAGAGATATATATTTCAACAGTCATCCAGCATCACATCAATGGATGCAGAACAAGTCAACCCACTAATTGAATATGTTTTACCTAAGCTCTTTAGCTTGCACCAACGTACAGAAACTGATTAGTACTGGGGGAGAAATGCAAATCAGGAGACTATAACATGCTTTGCCTATATATATATATATATATATATATATATATTTCAACAGTCATCCAGCATCACATCAATGAATGCAGAACAAGTCAATCCACTCGCTGAATATATTTTACCTGAGATCTTTAGCTTGCACCAATGTACAAATACTCATGTGATTAGTATTGGGGGAAAATTGCAAATCAGGAGACTATCACATGCTTCGACTTGAAAAAATATATAATACAAGAAGCATTGTTGAACGCTTTTTTGGAAGACAGAAATATTATTGAACACTCAATCTTCGATACCAGGGGTCATAACTAAATAGATGCTAGTAGTATATACAACATAAACAAGCATGAAGTAACTAAACATGCAGAAACTGACTGACAAATAATTTAATCAGCATACAATCAGATATTCAAGAGATGCTAGGAAAACTAGGGTAGAGTTTCACTCAGGGCAGAATGCAAAATTGCAATTACAACAGCAATAAAATATACTACTATAAAATTGTAATATGTCATAGCTAGAATGAGAGAATACAATTATTAAGCCATACCAACCCAAAAAAAAAGAAAAACAACAACTACAACAACAAAAATAACGACACTTAAAAGTCCAACATTAGAAACTGTTTCAATAACATTTGCTCAAGTACAAAATTAAGGCCTTCAAGTTTCAATCATATTCCAATGGTCATCATTCCATATATTTCCTGGATCGTTAATGGACCATTCAGCACCTAAGAACAGCCATATAAGGAAACCATGACCAGTTATGACACTTGATAAATTAATAAAAAAGAATTGTTAACAATAAATTAAAAGAAAGACATGGAAAGAGAAATGAAAGTGAGGACAATAGAGATAGAGTACATCTAGTAAAAAAAAAAAAAAAATGCTCAAATTGCAAATTTGCAAGTCTAAATTACGTTCAAATATGGACTAATGGACCCCCGAATACAAGTCATTGTACATCAGCTTTCTCCAATTATTATCAGGTAATTAATAAATGGTAAAGCAGCCACTTACAAGACAAGTGTGCTTCCTTGATGGATGAATATCGATGGAGTGAACAATCCCAGGAGTGGATCCCTGAACCCTACAACATTGTAAAAGGAAAAGTAATTTATGGATCAAAATCAAATTAAACCATGAGATGGAGATCATTACATGGGAAATAAAAATGGTGAATGAAGGATCAGTAGAAGAAGGAAGAACAAACTAAAGATTTTCCGCAAGGATACCAAACCTTAATGTTAAAATCAATATGGAAAGTGCCCTCTTTCTGCACTTGCCGAGACTTTAAACCATCTTCATCCAGTAGATATTGATTGATAGGAATGATGCCAACTAAGGGGGCGTTCGGTTGGGAGGATAAGGCTGATAAGGATAAAATTATCTGTCTTGTCCCCTTTTATCACGCGTTCGCTATGTGTGTAATAGGCCCAGATAAAAATCTAGACAGTATCTTATCAGTGTATGGGTGATAAACTTATCACCCATGACAAGGGAGATAAGGCTCATCTCCCTTGAACAGTATTTTTTTTTTTGTGACAATCTTATCCCTTCTCTCTGAACCCTCTGCCGTCAACCCACCACTGTCACTCCTCCCACAGTCGCCCCTCCTTCCGGAGCTCACGCAGGAGCTCGATCTACGGGCACCTGTGTGAGAGCACGCAGGCTCCGGCAGGAACGGCGGGCACGAAGCCTCACCCGTGGATCAGGCAAGAAGCCACGGCAGGGACAGTGCCGCTGCTGCAGCCACAGCAGGAAGGTGGCCGGATCCGCGGGTGCCGGTTGCAGTGGCTGGAGAGGAAAGGTATTAAAAGCAAGTTGGTAAATTGGTTCCTTATCCAATTTGTTATCTAGATTGCTAAAAATTGAACCGAATGTGTGATAAAAACATGGTTACTGTTGAGCTAGGATAAATTTTATCCTACCTGTCCTATCAACCTTTATCCTATCTCCCAAAACGAACGCCCCCTAATGAGAGGAGGACCTAGGAAAGCAGGGATCACTCTACCTGTGCTGACTGGCTATTGTATACTTGCTTTCGATCACCCTTACTGGGGTGGCAACTAAACAAACCAAGAACAATATATAGGAAATCTCCAGTAAGCCAAAATGACAAAACTGCTAGAAAGGATACACTGCATTTCCAGAAAACTCAAACATCTAACAAAGAAATTTCCAGTCGCTATAAACATCAAGAGATTAATTTCTTAGCTCAAAGGTGACCTTATGTTCTCCATCACTCTCTCTATCTGTGAAAAGCATTACTTCAAATTTAAAGTACACTTACTATCCGAGAGATAAAATGGGGTTTAATACAGGAGACATGATGGTGTGAGAGGACAAGGATAATACTAGTACCCTTCATGAATTGCTCCACATATAGCCCCATTCATTTGCCATCGGTGAACTGCCACAACCATAGAGTTTTAAACATGCCTAGCAGTATCTTTATTTTGCCAGAAAAAAAAAAAAAAAAAAAAAAAAGAAAGAAAGAAAGAAATATAGAGAATTGGAGAAAGCAAAACCCGCAGGAGGCAAAAGGCTTGCCAAGAAATAAAAGCTCCAACCACTGGGCTACTGAAGCCAGTAAACCACGTCAAGAGGTGAAAGCTAAGAGAGGGGAGAGAGCTGGAGAGTCCAAAAACCCACAGGTAGCAAAAGGCTGCTAAATGACAAAAGCTCCAGCCTTTGGACTAACGAAGCCAGGAAACCAATTCAAAGGTGAGAACTCTAGGTAGTTTCTTTTGTACAAGTACCCAAACCAGGGTAGGAACTGCAACCCGATACATGTTGCTCAGGTCAATAACAAGCTACATAAGTACAGTCAAGCCAAACTAAATATCCTAAAAAGCATGCCACAACCTAATGGTTTTTCCTGTTGCTGTAAAAGGTCACTACCTCACCTCTTGCCCATCCAACTTTCGCAGTCTCGCCATATGTCAATCACAAAATCAATTTCGTCGCATTACAATGTCATATTTGGAGAAAAACTCAAAGCATAAGCCTTGGAACGTCGACATTACGCAAATTAAACCAAACAACTATCCAAGACAAGCAGAATTTTTGAGCATATCACAAGTGAGATACAGATAGCTAGATTAAACATATAAATGCTATTCTCTTACCAGTTACCCTTGAACTGAGAAGCTGGTCCTCCGGGTTTCCGCTGATCCCACCACTGAAGACCAAACCCCAATCCACCCGTTGCGAATTCCGTCGGCGAAGCCCACCTCGCCGCTGTGAAAGAAACCAACCCGTTACCATCAAAAACTCGACGGTGACTCAGCCTCGAATTTCCAACATTTACCAAATTCACTCTCCCGTCCTCCCCCACGGTAACGCATTCCGACCCACTTTCCTGCACATCGATGCAAGAAATAGGTCCAACATGCAGTGTATTCTGCGGCACCCTGACCTCCGATTGGACCGACGCATCGACCGGGTCAGCGAACAGGACGTGCAGCGATCCGGCGTAGGTCGAAGCGGCGATGAGGGATTTGTGGAGGGTTTTTGACACTCTAAGGCAGGAGATTCTAGAGGGTGAAGGCCATGAGGACTGGAGGGTCAGAGTTGGTGGATTGGACCCGTCTAGGGCGTGAATTTCAACGGCTGGGGCATCAGAATCGGAGTCGAAAACGGCCGCGACTACGAAACGGTCGAATGCAGAGAGCGGCGGGATCCACCGGACGGCGTCAATGTACTTGGATTGAGGGAGTCTGTGGATCTTGACACGCTCTGCAGTGTCAAGCACCTCCATTGCTAGGGTTTTAAGAAACTAACACCGACCAGGCAGTAACAGCGTAAGCAGGGTCTTTGTAATGCAAATAAGCTAGAAGAGAGGTTTTGGGAGGAGGCGACGGGAAACATGAACCATTTTATTTTCCCCTAGTGATTTTCAAATCCTATCATTGTTATTGTTCTTTTATTTATTTTCTTGTATACATATATGGGTGAATTTACAAATGCTAATGAATCTTTCTAGATCATCTCTATTTAATTTAAGACACATCATTCAAATTGAAACATGATTTGAAAATTTTCATTTGTTAAAATATTTAAATATTTGTTTGAATACAGATAATTAGTTAAATAAATTTATTAAAACTCAAGTTTAAGTGAGAGATAAAATTCACAAAATTTATTAAAAATGATTGGGTTGCATTTATTATTTTACTCGAGTAAATTAATTACTTGAAATTAACTATAACAAAAGGATAATATTGGTTAAAAATTTATGCATAAGAAATATTTGATATTGTCAATGTCTCTATGAATGACAAGAATACTATCATTTACAAATAATATAAAATAAGAATATCTTTAATTAAGTTATAACGATAAAATAAATTAAGATAAAGTAGGACAAACAATTTTTTTTTTTTTTTTTGCTTATTTGGTACAAGTTGGCCAAATAATATGATATAACGAGATAATATAAAATTTTATCAAAATACCCTTCCCAGTGCTAAGCACTACTCATTGCCCCCTCCTTTCCTGTTGTGCCTCTTTGTTCATCATTCCTGACAAAACAGATTGAAAGCAAAGCCAAAGTCATTAAGAAAAAGAGGAATTTGTATTTTCGTACTAATAACTCAAGGATTATCCTATTTGATTCCATTAACAACATGAAGGATGGGTGTAACAGGGGCTTCAAGTCGAAGTTGGTGGTGAGCAGGTACGAGCCTTCCAATCAAGTTTGGTTGGCAATGAGAAGGGGTCCAAGTGCTTTTATCATTAGGCAATTTAATTTAGTATCTCTTTTCAGTTTTCCCTCTAAACTATCGTGGCCATGTCTAATCTAGTATGGCCCTAAGTAAATGAATAGAAGAGATAGATAAAGGAGTGGTAAAATGATTGTTCAGTGCAACAATGGCATATTGATCAATTGACTTGATTGATAGGACAACGATGGGCAATCGATGCTGATGTGATAATCCTCAAAGTTAGCAAAGAGAAGAAATTGACGAGATCTTGTGTTTGATTAGGTTTTATGAAAGGTAAATTTGGTCATTGTCCAAATTAACAGGAGAAATAATTTTATCCCATATAAATCTTTTAAACATTGATATATAAGAATAAAAATTATACCGTATATTTGACTATTTGACTCATAACACTGTCTTTTCAACACATGATACTTATCTATCTTATGGCTTTCCTACAAAATCAATGAGAAATTCCATAAATAGAAATTATGCCAATGACGGATGTGGTCAGGACCATGCCCGTTAGCGACATATCCAAAATAGAAAAGGGAGGTGTCAATTGCAAATTTAGACGAAATCACGTCGATAGATGATAGTGCTGGGAGGAGAATGATGATTGAGATCAAGAGGTAGGGGCAGGGAAAGTGAAACCTCGTTGAAAAGTAGCTGATGTCAGTAGGGTAGTACGAAGTTTGGTTTAAAGGACTCTCCCTGCCTAGTTTGAAAGGGAATTATGGAGGTTTGGGCCAAGCCCATCCCTCACCTCTTCATGACCCCCGCACTCCGCCCCCACTTTTCTATCCCAAGGTCATCCGCTCCAAGGGGTGGGTTTGGGGTGTGGTTAAAAAAAAAAAAAAAAAAAGGAAACTGTAATGAAGTAGGAGAACTAGAAGAGAGAAATTGAGACAAATCCAACATGTTGCCTATAATTTATTTTTATTATTTGCATGTAATTCAATAATAAAATTTACTTTTTAAAACCAGTTTTTCTATAAATAAATAAGACTTTTTAATTTAACTCTTTTAGAAGAGTCTTTCCAAACCCAGCCAGGTTTACTCATGGTTCTCCAGTCAAACAACCCTTTTAGAAAAAAGAAAAATTAACCATGATAATAAAAAGGTTGAATTGTCACATGATTTTCCTTTTTAAGTATTAAATATTTTTATTTATTACGGGAGGGGTTTGTTTGGATGAACTAAACTAAAGTTTGGTCTGACTACTTGCGAGCTAGTTTTTTAGTAGAAACAATTAAGAGAAAAGAGTTGGCTTGTTCCGGGAAAATGAGGCTTCACAGGGGTGTTTTTTTTTTTTTTTATAAACACAAACCAGACTCCAATAAATATTTTTTTTATTATCATTAAAAAGGGTTTTGGACCCCAAAATAATCTAAGTATCAAACACCACTAACTATTTCATAATATAAACCTCATTTGATAGAGTAGATTGGATAAAGTAGAATAGCATAATATTTGTATAAAATATCCTGATCACATAGTATTTTAAATTATTATAATATGTTTAGTAAATTTAACAAAAATTTGAATAAAAATACTTGATAAATATATAAAATACAAAAGTATCATTTTATTTATTTATGGTAGTAGATGATAGGCCAATAATGATAGGTGGCAAGTGGTGAGGCAAGTGGCAACAGGGGTGGTGGGCAACGGCATGTTATGGTGGTGGCAGGTGGCGAATGGTAATAGATGGTGATGGGCAGTAGTATGTGATGACAACGGGCGATGGTTGTGGGTGGTGGGCAGTGGCATGTTATGGTAGTGGCAGGTGACGAATGGTAATAGATGGTGATGGGCAGTAGTACGTGATGACAACGGGCAGTGGTCGTGGGTGATGGGCAATTGTGGGTGGTGGGCAATAGGTAGCGAGTGGTGACAGCAAGAATAGTGGTGAATAGCTTATGAATATTAGTAGTAATATTGTCTAAATAAACTAGATAAGAATTAAATAAATTATCTCACTATCCATCTTCTTCTTCATATTTTATCTTAATCTAATTAGATAATTATTTTATTTAAACTTTTTATCCAACTTCATTTTTCAGTTTACAAATATTAAATAAAGTCAGATAAAAATAGATTATTTCTTCTTATTTAGTTTTGTTTAGCTTACGAAAGGAGTTAATATATGTAATTAATTTATTTAGGTGAAAAGATTAACAAGGACGAGAGAATCAATCCATATCAAATAAATATTACTTGACACGAGAATTATAAAAAAGTTTTATAATATGCTTCAAATTTGAATATATTATGTACTTTTTTTTTCAAATTTATAAATAATAAACATAGCGGGCACCAAGATTTTATTGAGGATAAATGAAGTAATTAATAGGCAGAGAGTGGAGAGACAGATGGCTCTTTTCCATACGGTTTCACACGCTAGGCAAACCCTAGCTAAGACCATGTTTGTTCTTTTTAAATTAAGATTTGGAAGACTAGGAAATGCAACTCATACAAATAAATATTGACAGCTTATAAAAATTTAAGTATCCAACTGCCAAATCTATGGCTATCACTTTATGCCAACTAAATTATAATTCAAAAAAAATATTTTCTGAATTTTGTAACTTTCGTAAATTATCTATTTTTAAAAATTCTAACCAATTTTTTTCTAGAACTCTTCATTAAAATTTTTTTAAAATCGTAATCTTAATTTTTTTTGTAGATAAAAAAAATATCTTAAACTTTAAAACTTCAATTAATTTTTTTATTTCATAAAAGAAAAATCTAAACTTAATTTCCCTCAACATCCATCCATCCTCATTTTTTCAACATTTCCATTTATTTGCCTACTACGACTGGCCATGTAGATCACGTGACCCACCACGTGTGGCAATCTCAAAACTCCTGTCTCTGCCTAGCTTAACCTAGAGCTCGGGCCTGCCAGCTTGGGCCAGGCCCAGCCTAGATAGATGGGGATACGACAAGAATTATGTAAATAGAAAAACAAAAATATATAATTTTATTTTTCATTTTTACATGGAAAGTTATATTATTCAACATAATATTCTATTTCATGTGAGATAAACGTTTAAAATATAATTTTTATATTATCCTGTGGGTGTAATTATTAAAAGATATTTGCGTAAAATAAAATTGATAATTCTGAAAGTGAAGCATGGGGCAGCACGCATTGAGGCAGAAGAAAGAACTGACGGAGAGCAGATGCACAACGTGGCATTACCGATGGCTTTGGAGAATTATCTAACAATAGTCAGTCACTCCCATCTTTCACATATAGCCAAATTTACTTTCCTTTTTCCAACTCTGTTTGGCAAGGGTCCCAACCAAATGGGCCCCCCATCCCCATTAATAAAAAATTAAATTTAATTCTGACCGTTCAAGCAATCCATTTTCAACCATCAAATTAAGCCAATAATTTAGGATTTGATTACTCATGCGACCCTTTTAATTTTTATTTCAAATTCTTAAGAAAATAATTAAATGTTGATTAAGTTAATCGTGTCAGAATAGAGTAGAAGTATTCCCAATTGTTGTATTTACGTGGCAGATTTGCGCACATAGACTCGGGTCAGCGGATCGGGTCCATGCCTCAGAGCCCTAATGACAAAATTACAATCGTAGACAGTGGGAGGGAGGGAATAGAGGATGAGAGAAAAGGCAAACGAGAGGCTCGAAATTGTTAGCCTTACATTCTCTCCTTCTGGGCTTGGGTTTAAGACGAGCAAAGGTTTTGGCTCATCTTATCCTATCCGAACTTCTCTCTGTATCCTCTCAAAAAACACACGCCCACCTCTCTCTCTCTCTCTCTCTCTCCCCCCACATCTTTCTGTCTCTATAACTCTATCTGTCCCCCTTTCGCCTACTCTCTATGCACTCCCCTTTAGTGAGCTTAGCAAAGTAGATACTTCTAGTGCTTGAAGAGGAGGAAGAAGAAGAACAACATGCCTTCACTCTTCATTCTTCTATCCCTATAAGCATGTGGATACATATATCTATTTAATCTACCCGCCATGAGAAAAGCTCAATCCAACTTCTTAAGTTGTATATATCTCATTTTCTTTCCTATCCTCTTTGCATATTATCATCAACTCATCGTCTGTATCGGCCTTTCTTCCGATGAATTGGGCAGTGTTTGGCATTGTTAGTTCTTGAGAAGCAGTTTCTGAAATACCCATTTTGCAAAAGGATTGGCTGGTATCTTCCCATTGGATAAGTAGCCTTTCGATTATAAATTTCGTTGAAGTTGCATAAATTAAGGGCAAGGAACTATACAGTTCGGAACTTCCTGAAAAACAGAGATGGCTCCTAAAGCAGGGAAAGCAAAGCCCCACAAGGCCAAAGGAGAAAAGAAGAAGAAGGAGGAGAAAGGTGTGTATTATATTCCAGCTCTCTCGCGTTCAATTTAATTTGCATTCTTCTTATCTTCTTTCTGCTTGTTTCTCGAGAAATTAATGGGAAAATGGAGGAGACCCCTGTTCTTGCTTCTTCAGGTCTTAGTTCTTAGCCAAAATCCAAATTATCAATACTATTCCAAATTTTCTGCCAACCAAACAACGCCTGGTTTTTTCAGATGCTCCCAAATGTAAATTATTGATTCTCTGAATGTTACTGCGTTTGAAAGAACAACAAAAAAAAGGATGAAATGTAACTCTATTTATCTATTTATTTATTTATTTTTGAAATTTTCTTAGCAACCAAACACTGTAAGTTCGCAAGTACAAATTTATATTTGGCCATATTCGTGTTGATTTTGTCCATCATGGGTGAAATTACACAAAAATATTTCTAAACTACTTCTTTTACTGAAGACAACGAAATATGACCTCTAGAGCTTTAATCTTACTGTAAATTTGTGAATAAGAATTTTGTTTATATAATGATATTAATTTGTATTCTTTATGTTATCCGAAGTTTTATTTTTACTTCCTCTTATTAAACAAAACAAAATGTGATTTTCATAATTTAATTTTCTTAGCAACCAACTGGTTTCAATATGTTAATAAAAAAAAGAATTAATCCCACTTTTTCCTGGTTGCCGACAATCTTTCACTCGGATAATCCTAAAGTCAATAGTTTATTTCTTTTATTAATGAACACGACAATGTAAACAGAGAAATCCCATTTTCTTAGCACCAAACACTGTGAAGCAGCAGGTTTCATTAAATATGTATTTAATTATATTCATTAATTTGTTTGTATATGTTGGCAGTTTTACCTACGGTGATAGAAATTACAGTGGAGACTCCAGATGAGTCGCGGGTGACACTCAAGGTGAAGTGCCTTCACTGTACCTGGCGAGGGTCTACCTTAACAGCATGCGAGTGTAGGGTAAGACATAGAGGACTAACAAATGAAGCTCAAATAATCTGATGGCATCCTTTACTATGCAGGGGATATCAACGGACAGGATTTTAGACGTGAGGAAGCTGCTAGCTGTCCACGTAGAAACATGCCATGTGACAAACTACTCCCTTTCTCATGAGGTATGGACTTGGATGTGTGCATTATATGGTTGGATGTTTGCACTCTGAGCATGCTCATTTCTTGTTTTGAACCACTGTGAGGAGTATCTCCAATTTGGAATAAGTTTTTATGTTCACTCTCTTTGATCCAAACAAACAAATAAGAAATTGCCATCTGAGGACTATCAATTTAATATTCTCAACTTATTTTCCACCTAGGCCTTAAATTATAATAGTAAATATTCATCAAAGCTCATTAATTATAAGTGGAGTTTATTTGATTATGCATATTAAAATGCAATTATGGTCAAAGGACTATAATGAATATATTATTATTCAAAAATTTCCGGCTATAATTTTGCTAATATATGGTTAGAGAAATTTCATAAGAATACAATAAATGAGATATTAGGTTAGACCATTAAGTTTATGTAAATGTATATGGACACTATTCCTTCATGAGTGCTATAAAATTATTATTCTATTATCAAAATATGTATCTTTTAGAAGTGTATGTCATATAATCTAATATTTTTCATTCGTTTAATTTGGTGTGAGGCTTGAAACCGTCGTCAAGGTAGGATTCATGCAATCCTAGCATATCTACTTTTTTTCAAAAGCACTTAATTGTCATCAAACTGATACCATTTATTATATAGTTATTATTATTTTACCAAAAGATACACGTGTTAATGTATAAAGTGCTCATCTTATAATCCAATATATTTTATTCACTTTATCTGATGTGGGATTTGTGATACTATGATAGATGTTGCTTAAGGGTATATTTGATTTTCAAAAATATTTCTATTTTTATTTCCTAAATCCAATTTTTAAAATTGATTTTAAATTTTAGTGTTTCAAAATTTAGGTGACATGTTTGGTTTAATTTTAACTTTTCCTATTATTAGGAAATAATTTTAGATTTTCAATATTGTTGTCCATTTTAAATATTTTTAAAGAAAATATTGAAAATGACTTTTTATAATTTTCAAATTTCAAGTCATTTTTAAAAAGTATTTTTGTTAAAAATAAAAAATATGTAAATCAAAGACATGTTCAACCATATTTTCTGTTCTTATTAAAAATAAAAGTAGAAAATAGGCAAACCTTTCTTAATTCATGTAAATAGTACCTTTGCCTAACTCAATAATTTAACTGTAGAAGAAAAAAATTACAAAACTGTGAAAACCTACTTTTGTAGACATGGTGGGAGTTGCCTGGCATGAACAAAACATCTACAATTTTATTTTTCATAATCAATTTTCATTTGTTATATATCAAAAAATAAAGGGTATTTTTACATTTAGTGATAAGAATTATTGGAGTTCATGAAAATATATGGGTCCCATGTTTTGTTATTGAAGCCATAAAAAATTAAACAATTTTTTGTGAAATATTTAATAATTTTACTAGATTATAGGGTACAATACTAGATTTGATGAAACAAACTTGTGCACCCAAAAAAATTGAATAATAATGGTTAGAAAAATTGCTCTTTGCAACATGTCATTCACATTTCCTTCCAATCTATCATGGGAAAGAATTTGACATCAGAATTTAATGAAGTTGTAGATTGTTATGTCCTTACTTATGGATAGCAATGGCCTAACTCTAATCATTGGAACACAACAAAATACATGTAACTTGTGATCAGTAGGGGTGTTCAAAACCGAATAAAACCGACTGGACCGAACCAAATCGACCACAATCGGTTTAATTGGGTTATAAGATTTTATAAATCAATCGGTTTGGTTCGGTTCGGTTTCGGTTTTGTTCTAAAATAAAACCGAACTGACCTTATTTATTAATATATATATATTATAGATATTATATATATGTTTATATTTATATTGTATTTATTATATATATTTATATGTATATATTAAATTATATATTTATATTTGCATTATATATCTTTATATTTATATTTATATTAATTTTTTTATAAATTAAAAAAATAAAAAACCGATCATGTCAACCAAACCAAATCGACTTGAGTCGGTTTGGTTTGATTCGATTTTTTGAAAAAAAAAATCGATCAAGTCTTGTGAAACAGAAAATCGATATGCTTGGTTCGGTTTGGTTTAGGTCCAAAACCGAACCGAATCGAGTCCGTGATCACCCCTAGTGACCAGCAAAGTCATTCATCATCTTGGTTCCTAACCGAGATGTTCCATGACTGCCCTTAGATGTGGGTAGTGTTTTCTCTTTTAAAAATTAGTTTTTTACTATTTTATTGATTTCTTATCTGTTTATTAAAAATGTTTATAATCAATTCAAGATTACCAATAAAAATTCAATCTCACCTATAAGAAATGGCTATTAAAGATGTGTGTAGGTGAATAATTTGTTTTAGTTGTGACAATAAACATATTTCATATTCAATATATTTTTTTCTATAAAAATTATTTGTAACGATATGAAAGTTACTAATTTAGATAATTTGTTGAGTCTAAATTATTAATTCAAAATATTTAAATTTAAATAATTTAGTAATAACTTTAAAGAATCTTATCTAATACATATTGTGAGACTTAGAAACCAACGTGAGACTCCTTTACTTAAACATTTGATGTTCTCGTTAAGTTATAAGTTCAAAATATCATTTTTTTTTGTCAAATACCATTTGTAACGACCTCAGAGTTATTAGACTGAAAAATTTTGTTAAGTCTTAACTATTGATTAAAATACTTAAAAATAAATTATTCAGTAGTAGTCTTAATTTCTTATAATTATATTATATTACTTTTAAAAAATTAACATGAGTGAGAGGAGTTATCAAATTATTTTCATATGTAAACATAGTACGGTGGTGATTTTTTTTGAATTATTTAATAAACAAATACACAAGTTAATTTATTATATTGGAGAAATTAAAATAAGAAGTTTAAAGAGTCAAAATTATTGTTGGTTCTTTATTTCTTTATTTAGTAAGAATATGTGGAACTTTTTTTTTTTGGGGGGGAAAAAAATCCAAGAGAGCGAGGCGGTGTTTGGCCTGATTCTTACAAAGAAAAAGACAAATCATGGATTAAAAAGTTCATTCCAAAGGAGTAGCTTGAATTTGTTTTAAATTTGAAAATGAATACTTACAAGGGAATTCTTTATTTTAAGAATATTTATTTTGTAATTCTAATTTGAATAATTAATTAAACTTTTTAATTTTTTTTAAACCAAATCAAATTTTTTAAACTTGAAAAAATTCTGTCTCCATAAAGGCTTAAGTTGATAATAGGTACTATTCTAATAAGGCATAGATTGATGTTAGGTACTACTTTTGTGGGGCAACATCTCAGCAACGTGGTGGAGTGTTAGAATAAAAAGTTTAGTATTTTATTTTTTTATTTTATATTTATTTAACTAAATAAAAATTGATTGTTTAAATAAATTCATTACATTTTAATTTTATATATTAATGTTAAGTTTTTTTGAATTTTTTGTGTTTTATTTTTAAATTTAAAAACAAAAATTAGTTTTTTATGTTTCACTTTTAAATTTAAAAATTTATTTTAATTATTTATAAAATAATTTGATATTTAATATTATATTTATATATTTTTTTATTTAATTAGACATTAAATAAAAAATAAAAAAATATAAAGATTGCTGGTTTCCTCGTTGAGGTGGCACCCAGCATTAACCCAACCGCTGTCCAAACGACGCGCCACAGCAACTAACAGAATCGTCTTGGTACAATCCGACAGGTGCGGGGTCCGAGGCTGAAAGATACAGTGGAGATCGTGTCGCTCAAACCATGCCACCTCACCATGGTCGAAGGTAACGTTCTTTCGATCTAACGGCCGTGATAACTGATTTTATTTGATTACGTGTTACCTCGCGCGCTGGATATTACAATAACTGCCAGAATGGTCTGTCTTGGTAGATTTAAAACGGCAAAGCACAAAAATATATTAATAATTAAAATTTTTCAGAATTTCTGATCGTTAGTATCTAGCTTTTTATGACTTTTTGGTCTAAATTACGAAATAATCCCTTCAAATTTTCGTAATAAACTCTTCTAAAGTATTGAGTTTATATTAAAATATTATTAAATTCATATCTATTAAACCTTTTATTGAGATGAATGGCGATAACCCATTTGTAAAAGGATCTTTAGAATCTTTGAAAAAGAAAAAAAAAACTCAAGGGCTGTTTTGCAATTTTAAATTGTACAGAGGACTATTCCGAAGATCTGGCCATTGCACACGTCAGACGGCTCCTGGACATCGTAGCCTGCACCACCTGTTTCGGGTCCTCAAAACTTTCGGGTCGACAGAGCCCGAAAGAATCCGGACCCAAAGATCCGGGTTTGAACGAGGCGGAAGCGGTCCCAGAAACCGCCGGCTGTGAAGCCGGTTCGAAGCCGAGAGGAGGCGGCGACAAGAAGTCGACGAACTCGGCCGCCGTCGGGGCACCGAAGGCGAAGCACGGAGCCAAATCGACGAGGACGGACAGCTCCTCCGGAGGCGATGCGACGGAGAAGGGTGATGTGGCGGCGGCGATGTGCCCTCCGCCGAGGCTCGGGCAGTTCTACGACTTCTTCTCGTTCTCTCACCTGACTCCCCCAATTCAATGTGAGTGCGCGCGTTCTATATTCTGTTTTCAGTTTTCATTTTCGAAACACAGTCGATTTTCGAGGGGGAGAAAAAAAGAAATGAAACAAAGCCAATATATCCTACCACGCGGGTTTTAGGTTTCTAAAAGAGTTCTTCATGACAACCCAAACATGTTTGAACTTTATTTCCCGCAATTATTTTTCCTTTTTCCTTTACCTTATTATCCCGCTGTGTTTCTCCATTCGAAGTGAAAATTCCTTCTGATCAACTGTCTTTTGTTTTGCAGACATTAGGAAATCCACTCGTCCATTCCTTGAGGACAAAACAGAAGACGATTTCTTTCAAATAGATGTGAGCTTTCACAATCTAACCTTTTTTTTTTTTTGTGTATATGACAATTATTATAATAATTTGTGATAATATTATTATTATGATATAAATTATGAGAATTAGTATGAGGGTTCAAAATTATTATGATCATTATTATGGCAATTATTATGCATTTTGGTGATTATAATGTATAGGTTTTATTGTGATGTATGTGTAAATGGATTCACCAGGTAAGAGTTTGCAGTGGGAAGCCAACAACTATAGTTGCTTCCAGAAAAGGGTTCTATCCTGCTGGAAAACTTGTTCTTCTGAGTCACTCTTTGGTTGGATTGCTTCAGCAGCTAAGCCGGGTTTTTGAAGCTGTGAGTGCTGATTAACTAGCACTGTTGTCATTGTTTCTGTAATAGATCTTTCCATTCATTTCCTAACCTTGCTGTTAATGATTTCATTTTGTTCTACTTTTCCGTCTAATTAGGCAGTTCCTTATCAGCATTTTAAGTTTTTTTATTTTTTATTTTTCAACAGGCATACAGAGCTCTCATGAAAGCTTTCACTGAGCATAATAAGGCGAGTATTGATAAATCTTTGATAAATCTTTAATGCCTGTTTGGATTTGGATTATGTCTTGTATATTTTGTTTTTGGTTTTATTCTACATATTTTTGAAAAAAAGGCCAAAAATATTGAAAATACTGTTGTTTTCATGTCATTTTTTCATTTTTGAGTGAAAAAGGTTTTGGAGAATTTTGAAAACATTTTTTTCTTGTTTTGAAAGAGGGTTTTGTTTTCTGAAAATTGTAGTGATAACTGTTTCCAGAAACAGCTTTCTTGAATGGGTTACATTTTTCTAACATAAAAAACATTTTCCAGAACTAATCCAAACAATTATTTCTAGATAAAGTTAGAGGAATGAAGGTAGAGTTGCATTTGTTATTTCAGTTTGGGAACCTTCCTTACGGTTTTCGAGCAAACACATGGGTGGTCCCTCCAGTTGTTGCAGAAAATCCATCTACCTTCCCACCACTTCCTGTGGAAGATGAAAACTGGGGGGGAAATGGGGGTGGACAAGGAAGAGATGGAAGACATGATCAGAGAGAATGGGCAAAGGAGTTCGCTATTTTGGCAGCAATGCCCTGTAAGACCCCAGAAGAAAGGCAAGTTCGGGATAGGAAGGCCTTTCTACTTCACAGCCTATTTGTTGATGTTTCAGTATTTAAAGCCGTGGCAGCCATAAAACTTATAATTGATAACTATCTGTACTCTACACAAGAACCTACTTCATTTCTGCATGAGGAACAAATAGGAGATTTGCACATTAGGGTAACCAGAGACATGCCTGATGCAAGCATGAAGTTGGATGGTAAAAATGACGGGAGTCTTGTTCTTGGTTTGTCACAAGAGGAGCTTGCTAAGAGAAATTTACTTAAAGGGATAACCGCCGATGAGAGTGCAACTGTTCATGTGAGTAAACTAATTGAGAGTCTTATTTGCTTTTTGGTTTGTATTCTATTTTCTGATTTCTGTTCTTAGTTTTCATTTTCTATCTTCAGAAATGGGAAACTCTGGATTTTGAACTATTGTTTTTTTCATCTTTTTTCAGTTTTGAACAGAAAAGTTTCTGAGAATTCTGAGGTTTCCAAACATAACAAGAAAAATTGAAACTGTTTTAAAGAACCAAATTTAAATGATTTCACTATGAGTTCTTGTAGGTTCTGAATGATGCTGGTGATATTAGAAGTTGAGACATTCTGGTCTTGCAGGATACACCTACTTTAGGTGTAGTTGTCGTGAGACACTGTGGTTACACTGCCGTTGTTAAAGTTAAGGCTGAGGTAAGCTGGGAGGGTAAGAATATGCCAGAAGATATTGAAATTGAGGATCAGCCTGAAGGAGGTGCTAATGCACTGAATGTGAATAGGTCAGTGGATTTAGCTTAGGCTTAATACCGATGAGTAAGCCTGTTTGGATTTTTATTCTGATTTCTGATTTCTGTTCTCAGTTTTTGTTTTATGTTTTTTCAGAAACAGAAAACACTAAAAAATCTTGAAAACTCTATTTTTTTCCTTGTCATTATCATTTTCAAGTTATAATAATTTCTGAGAATTCTGCAACCAACTTTTTTGTAATCCTTTTTTTTTGGGTGGGAAAAAGGGGCATGTTTTCTAGAAATTCTCCCTAAACAGTTTTTGTGAAGGACCATGCTGATGGTCTTTTTGTTTGTTTCCAAAAAGAGAAACCTGTTTTCAGATACAAATCTGAACATCTTGCAATTTTCAGACCAGTGCATCACTCAACTCCTAGAATTAGGAACTTCTCTCTTTGCACTGAACTTATCACGTGCTATGCATCCTCCAGCTTGAGAACTTACCATGTCAATATATGCTCCATTTCGGTCCCAGTACTTGGTTGATGTGTCATTTGCCTCTCTCTCTCTCTCCAGCTTGAGAATGTTACTGTACAAGTCATCCACACCCCAGTCATCTAATGGGGCTCAGAAGTTGCAGAATGTGGATTTTGAAGATTTACATTCTTCAAGGTCTTTGGTGAGGAACGTGCTTGGTGAAAGTTTGCTTAAGTTGGAGGGAGAATTGAGTAGGAATGCAAGATCTATCAGATGGGAACTGGGAGCCTGTTGGGTGCAACACCTGCAAAATCAGGCTTCTGGAAAAACTGAGGCTAAGAAAACTGAGGAAGTCAAGGTTGAGCCTGCTGTGAAGGGTCTTGGGAAGCAAGGTGGATTGCTCAAGGGAATTAAGAAGAAAACAGAAGACAAGAACGGTAAACCGGAGCAGGGAAAAGAATTAAACAGCCTTGATGAGATGAACCAAAAATCAGACACAACTTGTCAGAGGGATGTGGAAAAGCAACATGAGGAAAAGGAAATGATGTGGCGGAAGCTAGTCCCTGAAGATGCTTATTTGCGCCTTAAAGAATCAGAAACTGGCCTTCATCTTAAGGTTTGCTTCTTGTTGATGTAATTTCATGCATATACTTAATATTGCCCAGTTGTTTTTACAACTTACCTATTTTTTGTGTTAAGTGCAACGACTCAATTATTTACCTAATTTATGAGAGACATGGTTCTAGAATTTTGAATATCTAAAAGTCATATATTAGCCAATTATTACTGTCCTTAATACGTACTTGTCTGCATCTGTTAATTCTGCAGTCACCTGATGAGTTGATTGAGATGGCACACAAATACTATGCTGATACTGCCCTCCCTAAACTGGTTAGTTTCTTACGTGAGCATTTCTTTTTCAAATAAGTATATTTATGACATATGTATATTAAAATCTTTAGCCTTCTCATCAAACATCTCTTTTCATGGTTCCTTATGAATGGTACTTTGCGACTGGGGCCTTTGAAGACTAAGTCCTTATTGTTGCAACTTTGTCATCTTTTAGGTGGCAGATTTTGGCTCACTTGAACTTTCGCCAGTTGATGGCAGAACATTGACCGATTTTATGCACACCAGGGGTTTGCAAATGTGTTCCTTGGGGCGTGTGGTAATTGCTTTATATTACCACTTGCATTCTTTCATATCCTGATTGCTTATAAGCTGCCTGCTATTTATAATCACCTGGCTTTCTTGGATGTGGCACTTTTGGGGCCTTGACAATTAGAACAGAATATAAAGATGTTATTAATAGATGAACTAAATTCAACTGAGCTCAGCCTTTTACATGTGTGATGCAAAAACAAATGAATGGTAGTTCTTTTTGGTGCACCAAACAAATGAATGGTAATGGTATAAATGAATGGCAGTTCTTTCTGGTGCATGAAACCAATGAATGGACGGTAGTTGAGAGAGAAGCATATTCCTAAAGGTCCATATGTACAAAAAAAACTAGGGTTTTTTGGATGTAATGTGGTAGGAATTTTAATTCCAGGTTTTATTATGTTAGTTGTTTTGAGTTAGTTATATTGGAAACCCCAGGAGGACCATATAGAATTTTTATGAACTTGACCTGATGGCATGATGTGATGTGGTATGCTTACATTAGAAGAAAAGAATTGTAAAACTGAATGTGGGATAACTTCTATTATTTAAGATATATCCTAAGTGCTATCAAGCCTCAAAAATTGAAGTATTAGCCAATACAACCCAAGGCTCTTGCAAAAAGCTTAGTATTTTTGGGTTCACCTTCTTGAGGTTCCAGTTTAAATTGTTCTTTTCAGATAGCTAGATTATGAATCCATGGAGGGTGTGGGAAGTAGGTTTCTTTTATTTATTTGTTGTTGTCTTTGTACTTTGTCTCACTGCTAATGTTTTTTACAATTCTTTTTTTTTATTTTTATTTTTTTGAAAAAAGTGAAGTTGTACCTTTTACCTTTTTTTAAATAGATATTGCTGGAATAGGCTCTGTAAAGCTTATTTATTCTTGTTTGCCTCCTTACCATGCCAGGTTGAACTTGCAGACAAGCTTCCTCACGTGCAATCATTGTGTATACATGAGATGGTAGTTCGAGCTTACAAACACATATTGCAAGCTGTTGTAGCAGCAGTTGATAATTTTGCTGACTTGGCTGGGTCAATAGCGTCATGTTTAAATGTATTGCTGGGAAAACCATTTACTGAAAATTCTAATGTTGAGACTACTCATGAGGATGACCTGAAATGGAAGTGGGTGGCAACGTTCCTGCTTAAGAGGTTTGGGTGGCAGTGGAAATCTGAAAACCAGCAGGATTTAAGAAAATTTGCAATACTTCGTGGGATTTGCCACAAGGTATGGTTATTTCACCTGAATGTATTAGACTGCATTTATTTTCTATTGACTTAAGAAGAGTTATCTTTCATCAGGTTGGACTTGAGCTCGTACCCAGGGATTATGATATGGACTCTGCAAACCCTTTCAAGAAGTCAGATATCATAAGCATGATTCCTGTATACAAGGTGTAGACATATTTCACTTCAGAAAAAATAAAAGTTCAACTTTTATAGGAGCTTTTATTGACAAAGTTGGTTTTCTTCTGCAGCATGTTGCATGTTCATCTGCTGATGGGCGTACCCTATTGGAATCATCCAAGACTTCCTTGGACAAAGGGAAATTGGAGGACGCTGTCAATTATGGCACTAAGGTATTCCAAACTACTTTATTTTGGTATTATCTTTTATGGATTTTTTATGAATCTAATTATTTCCGCTGATACTGAAATTTGAAGGCACTCTCAAAGCTTGTGTCTGTCTGTGGCCCTTATCATCGAATGACTGCTGGTGCATATAGTCTTCTGGCTGTGGTGCTCTATCATACAGGGGATTTCAATCAGGTTCATATCTAACTTGAATATTTATTTGGAAAAATAGCTGGGCCAGTGACATATTCTGATGGAGGATGAAGATGGAAAGAGAATAAATACATAAATTTTAACATAATTATTCTCTTAATATAGTCGAAATTCTAATAAATCTAAACCTTCCTAAAACAAACACATCAATAATATAATTATTTGATTTTCACCTTCATCCTCCATAATACTCTTATTCAGATACTCGTGTAAACAAACTTAAGTATTTGCATTCAGTTCTTGGATGAACATATTAATTAACACCCTATCAATATGAAGTGGGAACTGGATGCCTTTAATATAATAAATGCCAAAAATTAGACCGAAGGGCTCAAAAACTTAAAACTAACAGATAAGGGAAAAATGGCCCTCAAAAACTTAAAATTAAAAGATAAGGGAAAATGATCCATTACACCAACTTTGATTTACAAGTTCTACAAAGTTTGTGATTTTGGAATAATAATTGAAGAGCCAGAAGGAATCGTATAAAGTATTGACTCAGTCCTTTATGATATTTAACCAACCGATGATTTTGAATGAACTTTGGTTTTACTTAATAATAGCAATTATGTCATAGATAGATGTCATCTGGAGATCCTATTTAATAGTGATTAATTGCACTGTTTCCATTTATTTCGGTCAGGCAACCATATACCAGCAAAAAGCTTTGGATATAAATGAGAGAGAGCTTGGACTTGATCATCCAGATACAATGAAGAGTTACGGAGACCTAGCTGTTTTTTACTACCGGCTCCAGCACACAGAGCTGGCCTTGAAGTATGGCTTGAGAATATTTTGCATGATGAATGTTTTCCCAAAAATGTTGCAATTATGCTGTCCTATAGAGTGCTAATTCCTTTTACAATCTGGCATTGCCTTGTTTCCATTATATTGTGTTGTGATTGCGTGTCTGTCAAAGAAAAAATTGAGAAAGGAAAAAAATAAATAGTTAACTAATGAAGCTTTCTTCCTTTCTTTTCTTTTTTTCTTTTCACAAAACCTAGTCTTCCAGGGTTGTCCACTATTTGGGCATACTTTTAAAGTTTTATTGGAGTTATTTGTGTGTCAGTTCTATACTAGTGTTTCTGTTCAGTTGCATCAAGCTAATGCTTATTCATTTATTGTTTATGTATTACAGGTACGTCAACCGTGCACTGTATCTATTGCATCTTACATGTGGACCTTCTCATCCAAATACTGCTGCCACCTATATCAATGTAGCAATGATGGAAGAAGGTTTGGGAAATGTCCATGTGGCCCTCAGGTACCTCCACGAGGCTCTGAAGTGCAACCAAAGGCTACTTGGAGCCGATCACATACAAGTACTAACTTTCTTTCTCCACACTTAAGGAAGAATAGTTTGTTTGTAGCATATATTAATGGGCTGTTAACGTAGACTATGAATTTGCAATCATGACCTATAATATATCCAGATCAAAAACAATGTACAATGCAGTTCTGTGGTAGGACATGTCTTTATCAGCTGTTAATAGATTATATCATGGCCGATTGGCTGTAAGATCTGGAATTTTGGAATTTAAACGAGTTGAGCATGGAGATTATGCCTAAAGAACTGATAGGATTGCCAGCAAATCCAAATGTGACCTAAGTTGTTGATTTGTTTGTATGGCTTATACATTATCTTATTAAAATTGTCATGTTTAATCCCTATTTCTGGCTTATCCAGACTGCTGCCAGCTATCATGCTATTGCAATTGCTTTATCTTTAATGGAGGCCTACTCGTTGAGTGTTCAGCATGAACAAACCACTCTACAAATTCTCCAAGCAAAACTTGGATCAGATGATCTCCGTACACAGGTAACAGAAAAGTTCCACATTTGGTCTGTGAGTCACTGAGTCTCATTATTTCGATGGAAGTCCTTGTCCTCAGTTTATCCTGTAAGTTTCTTCAGGATGCTGCTGCGTGGCTTGAGTACTTTGAGTCTAAGGCTGTAGAGCAACAGGAGGCTGCACGTAATGGTACACCAAAGCCAGATGCTTCTATCTCCAGCAAAGGCCACCTAAGGTTCCTGTTCTTTTATCACTTAAGTTTGTGATAGCCTAATTAATACACACTAGAGGGTTTGCCTCTGCTAAGTTGGGATTTTATTACAAAATTATCCTTTTTCTAAAAATAATACTTCATTTTTTTATTGATAATTTTTGACTTAATAATTTAATAATGCATATTAATAATACTTTCATTAATTGCATTATTCTTACAGTTAAAACTTAGTGCCACTTGGAAAAGCCACAAGTTCCCCATAACTACTTGCCTTTTATAATATAGTATATATGTGAAGTGAACCTTTTTTTTTCCTTTTTTCCTTTTGTGGTTGTCTTGTTGTTACTGTCAACAATTCAATGTTATTATCACTTAGACTCGGAATTGTTTGACATTACTAATCCTATGAGAGTTGTTTCTGCAAAATCCTCCAATGCAAAACTGTGGTAAAGGAGACCCTTTTTCATGCCTGTTAGTGTTATTCCAGTCCATCAGTATAGTGGTGTTGGCCAAAAAAATTTATTAATTACATTTGTATTCCAATAAATTGAATGATTTTTCTTCTCTCTCCATCAGTGTATCGGACCTACTGGACTATATAGCCCCAGATGCAGATATTAAACTAAGAGATGCCCAAAAGAAGCAAGCTCGTGCAAAGGTCATACTTCAACTCATGTCCCCCCCTCTCCTCTTTCCCATATTTATTTCTCTTAAGATTATCTAAGTTAATTATTGAATGCCTACTTTTATAGGTTAAAGGCAAATTGGGCCAGACTGTGGAAACAATCACCGATGAATATCAAAAGGAGGAAACATTATCACCTACTCATCTTGTTATGGAGACCCATAGTGACAAAGAAGGCAAGAACGAAACAGAGGGCAAACCTGAATCTCAGTTTATAGAATCCATGGACAAGAAAATTGATTTTGGTCTATTGGATCGGGTGGTATTTGACCAAAATGATGACATGGCACAAGAAGAAACATCTGATGAAGGATGGCAAGAAGCTCTCCCAAAAGGTCGCTCAACTGGAGCTCGCAAGCCTTCAGGTTCAAGGAAACCTAGCTTGGCAAAACTGAACACAAACTTCATGAATGTTTCCCAGTCCATGAGATACCGTGGGAAGCCCAATAATTTCATCTCTCCAAAGACAAATGAGTCCGCTTCTTCAAGTGGCTCCCCTTCTTCTGCTCAGAAGAAGTTTGTTAAGAGCTCAAGCTTCAGTCCAAAGTTAAATAGCCCTACCACCCCAGCTACAGCAACAGAAAAGTCTGCAAACACAAAGTCAGCCCCATCTAGTCCAGCTTCAACAGATCAAGTTTTCAAATCTGCCCCCATGGTAAATTCAATCAGTGTTCAGGCAGCTGGAAAGCTTTTCTCATACAAAGAAGTAGCTTTGGCTCCACCTGGTACCATTGTGAAGGCTGTGTCAGAACAGTTGCCAAAAGAGAGTAGTCCTAGTGAGCAGAAAGAGACACTTGTCTCAGAATCAACAAATGTGAAGGATGTGAAGGAAGAAGAAGCTCAGAAACCCGTTGAAGAGAAAGAGCTTGAAGTTCCTGAGAAGCAAATGAAATGTTCTGTCAGTAACGAACAAGAAACCAAAGTTGAGGATTCCAAGACAGACTCCTTGGAGGAAAAATGGAGTGAAGTTACTGAAGAAAGAGAAAAAGGACCTAAAATGGTTGTGGAGGTAAAGAATGTTGCTGTTGAAGCCAAAGAAACAGAACCTGAGGGACCTGCAGTTTCAGAAGTGAAGGATTTGTGTACTTGTAATGATTCAAATGCTGCTACTTCTGAACACAAAGAATCTAAAGCAGTCGAAGCTCATGAAGTTCCAAATGAAGGCACAATTGTCATTCCAGAAAAAGATGATTTTATTCAGAAAGAGAATGTAATACAAAATGGAGAAAATTCACCTGAGCTGTCTGATGATAATTGTAGCATTAGTCCTGTTCCAAATGATGCAGAAAAGCCAAATGAAGCACAAAAGCAGGGAGAGACAGAAACAGGAAAAGAGACGAGCAAAAAACTATCTGCGGAGGCGCCTCCCTTTAACCCGTCAACAATTCCAGTGTTTGGTTCAGTGGCAATAGCAGGTTTCAAAGATCAACATGGAGGAATATTGCCCCCACCGGTGAACATTCCTCCCATGATTACGGTTAACCCTACACGTAGATCGCCTCATCATTCGGCTACTGCAAGGGTTCCATATGGCCCAAGGCTCTCCGGTGGATATAACAGGACTGGGAATCGGGTTCCCCGCAACAAACCTGCCTTCCACGTGGGAGAGCAAAATGTTGATGGGAACCACTTGAACTCTCCAAGAATAATGAACCCACACGCTGCTGAATTTGTACCTGGCCAGCCATGGGTTCCTAATGGCTATCCAATGACTCCAAATGGTTACTTAGCTTCCCCGAATGGTATTCCCTTGTCACCAAATGGTTATTCTTTACCGCCGAGCAGCCTTCCCATGTCACCGAATGGGTTTGCCCCATCCATGAGTGGTATCCCATTAATGGAAAACGGGTTTCCAACGTCTCCACTCAGTCCAGTGGAATCTTCAGCAGTTGTAACCCTTGAAGTTGGTGCGGAAAACCAAAGGCAAATCATGGAAGAGGAGAACATGGAAAAAGAAAAATCATCAAGTGATGTGGGAAATTTAGTTGAGAATCCAAACCATTCAATTGAGCAGAAAGTAACAGAGTGTCAATCCACAGATGATGAAAAATCTCACTCTGAAATTGAAGAAAAGGCCGAGGACACAGTTTTGGCAGCTGAAGGTGTGGTTGCGACAAATGAAAGTTGCCAAAATGTAGCTATGGAGGAAAAGCCAAATAAGTGCTGGGGAGATTACAGTGACAGTGAATCAGAGGTTATTGAGGTTACAAGCTGAATCAAGTTTTTTGACCTTTTTGTTTTGGGTGTAAATGATCTGTTCATAGCCCCGTTCAATCAAGCTGAAGAAAGGCAAATTAAAGTCTGGATTATGAGAGGGGAAAAAATGAGTGGAACTTGCAGAGTCAGTCGGAGATATGATTGATTTTGTTGCAGAAAGGGATGTGCAAATGTTAACTAAGCATCTTCAGGATAACAAGCAAGAATGTCCTCTCTGCTGGAATTTTGTTGGTTGTTGAGCGAAAACAAAAGGAACCTTGAGGTACCAGTACTAGGATAGTTAGTTTTGGATGATAATTATGCACAAAACGTGGAATTTCTGTTTCTAAAAATTTCAATTTTCCTGCATGTTGCCAGATATCTGATCTGTTAAACTTTGACTTTACATTTTTGTTAATTTAAGGCGTCTAATCAGCAAACTGGTACAGGATAACCTGAGAAATGTGGAGTATCCCTTCGGATGTGTTGTTTGTAATTTTCTTATCTATTCTCTGTGGCCTCTAGTCTCTGACTTGATGTACTGTACTAGAACTATACTGATCTACGTTACTGAATGTTCAATTTCTAGGAATACGATCTAACAAAAATGTGTACAGTGACAGTAGGATATTAGATAACGTTGTTTTATTCATTTCATGAGTGTTGTTAGATGCATTCCTCTAAATAAAATATATATTTCTATCTCCATGATGAACACAACCTTGGAATTATATTCTTGATGAATATGTATGATGGGGAGTGCGGTGAAAAACTTGGGTGTTTGATTCCTAACTGATCTGGTAGTTCATGCAAATCATGGAAGAATTAGCTTGGCATCCCTGGGTATGTAGGTAGTGGTTTCCTATATGCTGCTAACTGTACTTGATAGTGATATGATTAGTAGAAGATTAGAAGCCGCCAAAAGGGCTTGTTAACCATTACTGAAGCTGCCGAAATGACTTCTTTGTGCTTGAAATTTTTTCTTGATTTTGTTACGTGTTGGTATTCCTCTATTCCTTGATTAGATGCTAGGTAGACAGCCTTGTGCTCGGCAAAGTCTGATAGACCCAAAGTAAAAGCAATAATATTTCAGACATTTTATCTCATTTTCTGAACCCTGTTTGCCTACTTTCTTTCGCGCGCATGTATAGGTTCTCGATTGGATTATATATGAATAGGACAACTAAATTAGACAAAAAAAAAAAAAAACAAAAACAAAAACAAAATCAAAATCAAAATCTTATACCACAAATATTTTGTCAAATATTTTGCTATGAAATTTCTCATAAATGCCGCTATAAATGGCTCAAGTTAACGAAATACAAATCCTCCTTTGCCTCAATTCCTCAACACTTTAAACAGAAGCCAATCCATATTTGTGTAACAAGTAGTCACCTTCTTTCTGGGATCTCAAAATACGAAGCTAACCGGCCCTTACTTCCCCGTAGAGATTACTCTTCAGCCCTTCCCCAGTAATTATTCCATGTCCAGTTGCCTTAGTTTACACCCTTCCTTAGACTTCTGCATTTGCCAATGGCCCTAAAGCAAACTTGGCAGTTTGCTCTATGTTACCAGCCGAGGAAAGCTTGGCCGCTGCCACCACAGGTCGGCAAGCCCCGCCGCCATTCCATAACCACCAGGGTGGCAGCACTATGGGCGAGAGCTCCGGCAACAACAAAGACGTGGAAGATCTGGTGGCTGTGCCCAGCAATGTCAAACGCCCCAGGCCGCCACCTCTCCGGCACCCTGCTAATATAGAAGGCTGCCCCTACAGCGTACAGAAGCCCCATCATGGCTTCGTACCCGAGGGCCAACTGGATCTGGGAGTGGCCCCAGAAGAGCAGGACAGCATGAAGTGCCGGAATCACCCCTGTGGCGATATGATCACAACGTGTTAGTACAACACCAGATTTGTTCAAAATGAGTACGCAATTGCCATGTTGAGCTATCATTGTTTCCGAGCGAAAAAACATTTTGAGAATTCTGAAGACACTTTCTTATCATCTGAAATCTCTCCTGGAGAGCTGCAAAAAACAACCTACCAAGCAGGTTTTATTTTTCCAACAACAGTAAACATTTTTTTTTCCTATCAAATCTGTTTTCAAAAACAAATCCTGAGTTCTGTTTAGAGTGGTATTATTTTTCTCCCTAGATTTCACCTGTATGATGTCAAAATAAAAAAAAAAACGTCGATAACTCTCGGAAGCTCTATAGTGTTGTTCAAAAATTAGTTTACGATAAAAAAAACATCTTGTTTCCAAAGAAGGGTTCCTGCTTTGTAAAATAACTAGTCAACCATATTTTCTGTTCAAGAACAAAATCCAAACAGGCTATATAATCATGAAGACAATCGCCGTGACAAATAAACAAGACGTCCCGTACCTGAGAAACCCATGATGAGGAAGAGGGACGCCCGGAAGGACCGAAAGCGCGGGGAGGACAAGGATGGAGCCAGGAGGGTGATGATCACAAGCGTTCCGAGCGATGAAATAGCGGTGAGGTAGAGGATTCTTGAGTTTGGATTGCAGGAGAAGGCATAGTAGATGGGGGCAAAGAAGGAGCAGATAATCATGAGGGAGATGCCGGCATAGTCGAGCCGCCAAAAGAAGTAGTTGAACCGCTTCGAATGGCACGCGAAGAGGTGGGAAAGGGAGCTGCAGATGAGGCAGCTCATGGCTCCTCCTAGGAAGACAAACCAGGGCCATTTGGGGAGTACTTCGGGGTTAACATAGCTGTTCATCTCTAGCATTGATGGTTTTACAACTGAATCCTGCATAAAAACAGTTTGGGCAATGAATTTAAGGTATAGAGCTTACGAAATTTAGTTAGGATTGTTTGTTTACCATCTGATTAAACAAACAAATCACTTATTAACTTTTAACTTCTAATTGCATGAAGCTGGAAGCATTCATTTAACTATAAATAACCAAGTTCTGATCGTTTTGACTCCTATAATTTGTAAGAAGTTCCTATATTAAGTGCTTTATCTAGGAACACGGTTAAATATTAACTAGCTGACCCTTCATTGTGTATATACATCTTCAGACTAAAAATTTGTCCAGGTATTGTTTGGGTCAATATTGCTATGCTATCCCATTGGCTAGCAGTTCTTTCCCTTATTTCTATTTTCTTCTCTATTCGGTTCTTTTTCTTCCACGTGAGGAGCATTAAGTTCGGGCTTTCTATGAATCCGGCTTCTCAGACAAACACTGTGCACTTTCATAGATGTTTTCAATTCAAGAAGCTGACTTTTTTTTGCTTTTGGCCTATATCAAGCTCTCCCTGACTTGTCCCATACCCAACCCAAGTCTATTGTCTTATGACAGACGCCTTGATATAAACTACACTGTGGATCACACTAAAAAGACCCTGTCTTTCTATTTCGAGTTAAAAGAAAAGAAACTAAACCAGAAATTCTTTCTTAATAATTAAGCCAACTTAGTTGACCAAAAAAGTTGGAAAGCTGTTGCTGCTACGGTAGAACTTTAGATAATATTTTCAAACCTGTAGTGCTCTATCCTCTGTATTTCAAGCATGTACTTGCGCGTACACGACGGGTGTCCCCGCTAAATTTTGTATTAGTGCTAAAATCTAAAAGCTAATCCAACTTATTAAGTATTAGACGGCTCTGTCCCTTCAATTTTCTTTTCTTTTTTAAATTTTTTTAGAGTGACGGAGAATTTAATTATTTTAATATTTTAATTTTTGATCATTTAAACACACTTTGCAATGCCGAAAGATGCGCTTAATTTCAAAAAAGAAAAAGAAAAAACTGATGCCGTTGATTAATTTGTTGGAGATTGTAGTCCACAAGCATCCTGCGACTTCATGGCACATGGTGGGCCACCCTCCCACTCCCGTGATATGAGCGCACGGGTCCTGACCCATGCAATTGGTGCCATTGCCGGTCGCCTTTTGTCGAAAAGAAGAGGAAAGAGAGGATACCAAAAACTTACCCTGGAAAAAGAATCCGACCCGTTGGCCCCGGTCTTCATCATCAACATTAACGGTGCTTGAAACGCAGGTCTGCTAGTCAAGTTCGTGTCAGGAAACGGTACGAATATTTCCATAGAAGAAACAGTACACGCCGGAGACCGGAAAGTATATACCTGACAAGATCTGGGATCAAGCCCTCGCCCGTCGTCCTCTCCAGCAAGCTCAACACCGTCAAAGCCGCGAACATCAGAAATCCCCCCAAATGCCTACAAATTTTCAAATTTTCAAATTCAAAATTCAAACTAATTAAGTCACAGACGCTTGATGGAATCAGTGACTAAGCGATCACTCACGTCCAAATGTTCAGGGTCTCGTTGTGCCAAGCGAAGACGCTGAGCATAGTGTCCTTCAACGGCCACTCGCACCTGTAGTAGTCAAGTATGAACTCGTTGTCCTTTAAATAGTCGGGCAGCGAGTCGAACTTCATTAATCTCTTCTCGAATCTCTGCTTCCCGTTTCGCCTCTGGCCCGAGTCGACTCGGTCCACTGTCTCTGCTCCATCAATGTGCTTCTCTCTCTTTCCTCCTCCCCGCCTCATCTTCCCCGGAATTACCCCAGTCTCTCTCTCCGGCGCAAAATCCCCTCAAAGGGATATCTCTCGTTTTTCCTATTTCTCTCCCAATATGCACATAGAGCTTCCATTTAGCAGAGAATTTATATAGCCAGGGGAAGAGCGTGGGATAAAATTTAAGTTGGAAATAATGAGAAATAAAATATGCAATAACCCTGGCCACGTGTAGGCACGCAGTACGCTTGAATCAGAAAAGTCGAATTACTTTGTCTACTATTAGCGAATGGGAAACAGACGCGTGGATTAGAGCCAAGAACAATCCCTAATATAATATTGAAAATTGAGGATTATCGGAAGGTCAGAAATGTAATTTGAGTGGCGATGGGGCCCGGGAGTAAGAGAGGTAGACCTGGCTGGCTCTTCTAGAAAAGATATCCAGCTGCCACTGCTGACCCTAAAGAAACAATTAATAAAAGAATTTACGGAAAAGAAACAAAAAAAGAAAAAGTATATATTCCACGAATAGTTGAGCCGTTTTTTTTTTTTTTTTAGAATGAGAAAATGCTCGACCCTTTTCTAGACTTTTCTTCTTTTAAAATTTTACGGCAGTAAAATTCTTGATGGAAAAAAAAATAAAAATTTATTTATTTTAAGTAATGAAAAATTGGATAAAATTATATTCTAAAATTTTAAATATTTAATCTAAATAATACTATCTATTTTTCATACTTTTAATAATCTGTTACGAATAAGATAAATATACAGGGAAGATAATTTTGAAAAATTTAAAATAAGGATTAAAATTGAGTTAGTTATGAATAATTAGAATTAAAACTATCAATTTGTTTTAATTAGATTTGATTTCGTTTATGTTTATTTTTTACTATTATAAATAGAGAAGTTAGGTTTAGATTAGGGTAATGAGAAATATTTGATTTTAGAATCAGGAATTTTTTATCTTAGGCATTATCAAGTAACAATAATTTCTTTATTTTATATATTGAATTAGAATTAATTTATTTTGGATATTATTTACTTCATAACAAGTTGATCTCAACCTGCCCATTCTTATTATTAGTTAAAATAAGAATAAATGTTCACATAAAAGTCTTGGAGAAAAAAGTCTTTACTCTTGAGACTCATGTGAATACCATTTCTAATAAAGTTGATACCCAAATTTTTAATATTTATAATAAAATTGATACTTTTATGTCAACTCTTTTAAAAAATAATTCGTGGATTGCCAAATCTCTATGACAAACTCTTGTACCATCCAACCAGTGGTTAACGCTTTGCTAGTCCCAATGACTCAACTATCAACATTCATTTTGACAATTTCTTCACTCACAACTCTTACATTTTCCTCTCTTATCATGTAATTACTTTCATTTGATGGTAATGATCCAATGGTCTCTCATATCTCAGTTGTACTGAATCCTTTCTTAATCAAGTCATCGAGCACTGATTAGCGACATATTCCATCAACCGCCACATTGCTGAGCACACAACCCAATTTTTAGACATCTCACCAACTATCTCCCGTAGATTGCCAAGATCAATGAAGAAAGGGGCCTATGTTCCAAATGTTAGATTCCTTATAACCCCTTGCACGTATACTCGGGTAGAGAAATTCGAGCAATGAAAACCGATTAAGAAAACATCTGGTTAGTCAATGTCTAGGCACTTGAAGTATATGCAATGGTTGGTTGATGTTTAGGCACTTGAAGCATATGCATTTATTGATTTAAACACTAAACTACTAGATCCACAACTTATAATTGCTAAGTCTTTACCTTAAGGAGAAGGTAATTTGTGGTAACGAGTATTTGTTGCAGATAAGTATAAAAGGAAGATAACTTTTGGAAGGTTTAAGACAAGGACTAGAGAATTAACACTGAATTAGTTAAAAATAATTATGATTAAAATTATCAATTTGTTTTAATTAAATTTAATTTTATTCATATTTATCCTTTTATTTTTATAAATAGAGGAGTTAAAATTAGATTAGAGTATTGAAAATTATTTAATTTTATTTTACCATTTAGTTTTGAAATTGAAAAATTTTCTTTTTGAACGTTGTTGAGTAGCAACAATTTATTTTTTTCTTTTTTTTTAATCTATTGAATTAATTTATTTCAAAATCATTTACTCTATAACATATTCCTAACACTTTAAAATTTTTACTCGCTTTTAACCGTTCATTTAAATTTCATTTATGGACTTCGTAATGCTTTTATTAATCGGGAATAATGAATGTAGAATTTAGAAATTAACTGGTTAAATGTAACCAATCAACACCTATGTCAAAGGTACAATTTAAAACAACATCAATTCCGATTCTCCTTCTCTTCTTCTTCTTCTTCTTCTTCTTCTTCTCTTTTTTTTTTTTTTTTTTTTTTTTCTCTCTCCCAAAACTCCAAACTTATTGTAAGTTTGAAACTGAATCAAGACTTGGTTTATTTGGCTAGGTCTTTCAGCTTGAAATACCTAAACAAAATATACTACATTAACATTGTACCTGTATTCAAAAGGCTAATTCCATAAATCATGGTCAACCCTCCCTAAAAGTTTACATAAACAAATAAGATAAAATCACCAAGATAGTTGGGTTCACAATTAATCACAAGGAAATGTTATATGAGCAAAAGAAGAAGTACAATAATAATTAATAAGAAAATTCTTCCTTCCCAATTTTTTTTCCCCTTTCTTTTTCCCTATGCTGTTGACAAAGTAATTGCTGCTAATAAGCATTAGGAATCCAATACCTACACAAGAAGCCCCAAATAACCAGATGAACAAATTTATATGATTCACAGGGACAGAAACCAATTTTTATTTTTTCCATTTTTTCGCATATTACAAAAAGAGAGGAATTTAGTTCTTGCACAAAGCTGTCCACACACTTATCCACAACATGCTAGTCTCCCCTCACTTTCCCAAGTGGGTCAAGATCCTAGTGACCAAAGCTTCCTTTTTCCCAGTAACAGGAAGGTTGTTTGCTGCCAGATAGTACTTTAGTTCAGCCACTGTTAAATCCTTCAACTGTAAAACATGAAACCAACCACTCGGAGTGAAGACGAAAAAAATCATAGATTTTCATCTTCAAGTCAGAAATTAAACACCGCATTTCTGAAACTCAAGCTTTCTAATGTTATTTCAAAGTCATTGAATTGGTGCATACTGGACACCTATACTTGTCAACATCGTTGCTATGTCTCAAGAGAATTACTCACGGGGAAAAAAAATCTAGGAACAAAATGAAAACCTACCAAAGTTGGCAAAAATTGGGAATCAAAATTACCTTAATGATCTAAGATCCTATTATTGTATAAACTCTGAGATTTTTCCTTTAGATTTCTCATCCGCTTCTGTCTACATCCCTTGACGTCCTTGCTATTAAGGACTGGCATCAAACTGGAAAACATTTTTCCCGCCCCTCCAAAATATTACAACCTATTCGGATTTTGCTTCTCCTTGTAAACTAAATGAAAAACTTTGAATAAAATAAATATTGGAACAGTGTCTTCCTTTTATATGACTAGCATAGCTACAAAAGGCTATCTTTCCTATCTCTTGTACTAAATTTTTTTAGTCCTATTACCAAGAAATCGAGCAGCTAAAATGTTTCTGATGATAGCTATATCAATTCAAATTATATTTCCTGTCAGTTGAACAAATTTTTGGTGGAACTAGAACCAAATACTTATTTTAGGCTGTTAGACCCAAGAAAATAAGAAGTCACCTGCCCACTGTCCGCAAGCTCAGCCCAGTCATATTTTGCAGACTCCTCCACCGCATGTTCGGCAATTGCTTTCCTTTTTCTTGAAGCCTCACTTAATTTGTTATTGTTCTGAAGCTCACGCTCTTCATCATAGCTATCTCCATAGACAGAATGCTTAAACTCTTCCAGTGCATTAATGACTCCCGGTCTGCCACAAGCACATGAAGTGTTTGTCGACATCCACAGAAAATTATAGGTTTTATTGAGATAAAAAGGAAAAGTAGCTATGGTAGTGAAGGGGAAATGCTTGTTTTATCCTTTTTTTATTCAATTTTCAAGAAACTGTGCAATTTTAAAAAATTTTTTTTTTTGGGTTTGGGGGAGTGAATACTGTTATGTATTGCACTCATTAGCTCCACATTACCTAGCCAAACCTTTCTCATCGGGAATAGTTTCATCTTCAATTTCTGGCATCTCGTCTTCATCTAGTGCCAGGGCTTGTAGTACTGCATAATGTCTCTGCAAGGCTGAAACTTATCTTATTAACACACTGAAAAGAAGTTCCTCATTGAACTAGAGACAATACATGGTCATTCTGGACCCACTTCTGTTTGGATTTGTTTCTAAAACAGAAAACTCTTCTCACAAATTCTTTCAAGAACGAGTTTGGAGAACTTCTAGAAAAGAGGTCCATGCTTGTTCTTCAAAAACATAGAAGATGAAAACTAAGAACAGAAACCAGAAAACATATCCACACAGGGTTGCAAGTTCTTGTGTTTTCTGTGTGTGTGAGAGAAAGACAAGCATGGCCACTCACATACAGCCTGCTAGTAACATCACAATCAATATATACTTCCACTTTCTCCATGACATCATAACTTTAAAATAATGATAATCACAAAAACAAAGGCAGAAAAATTAAACTGAGAAAGGAATAGATGCCGAACCTACCAGGATTAGCAAATTGGCACACCGAAAAATCTTTTAACTCTATACGTCTGATTAGTGCAGTAGCTTTCTTAATCTGATCATCGTTTGCTCGAGGAGTTGCAGCATTTACATCTGAATGGACCTGCAAAAGCAGCCACCCAACACTTCAGTAAAAACTATACAATTAAATTTATTATACTGAAGATAAAAGTTTATCCTGCCTCTTCAATTTGTCTAATATCATCAGAATATGGGAGATATATCATGTGCATTCCAGGAGGCTCAACCTGACCACCAGAAGTGATTATCTCATCCTGCATGTTAATGAAGGCGAGATTATTTCAACCAACATAATTGAAGAATAAAGTCAAATAATTTATTTTCATTAGAGACATCCAATCTGACTCAATTATTTTTCCATACAGTGGAAACTTGACCTTTTATTTTTCACTTCGATAACAAACCATGTCACAACAAATATTTAAACCCTTCAAATTCTAAAATAGAGCATAACAGAAATTAGAAGCACCCTGATAGAAAGACAGCCCCATGATTAAAGCAAACTGCAAAGCATAGCCCAAAATCTGCCTGGTGGGACCAATGAAGAAAATAAGAGCAGACTACAACAGGAATTAGATTATTAGAGTTCGCTTCTGATTATATGCTGATCTTGTCAAGCTGCTGAATGAAAGATTTCATAGCCCTTTCTGTTGCTCCAAAAATCAAATAAATACATACAAAGAGAGTTTTGATACTTAATATCTTCATGAGTACACTTCAGATAGATATAGCAGATTTCTAGAGATGACAGATTTGAATCAAGTTGATGCTCATCAACATTTCATTAGATATGCTCATGTCATTAGAAATTAATAAAATACATACTTGTGCAACAAGGGCTACCAATTGAGGATGAGTATAACTCCCATAAAATGCAACTGCAAATCTGTTGAGAGAGAATGTCATATCATTGTCAATAGTCATGTCATATGAATAATTACCAACAAGTGAATCTAAGAATAAACCACATAAACCAGCAAAAATGTATATCACAAAAGTTCATTACTTAACAAAGCCCAATAAAACCGTGAATTGGGGGGGGGGGGGGGGGGTGGGCTGGAGGATTTAATACTTGGAAAAAGAAAACTAAAATATGATTGAACTAAGAGCCCATAATAAAATACCTTTTATAAAAAGAAAGTCACTATCAGTCATCACAAGTGTCTATATGAAAAAAAAAAAAAGGATGAAAAGTGTGACTAACTGTAAACCATGAAAGCACTACATAAAAATATATGTGGGTGGAGGCCGCCAAAATTGCATGTACTTATTGCAAATGTGATGGCAGCAGCAACTCCTAGCTCCTATGGTACTTCCATTTCCTTCATTGATCTATGGAGTATGCTTATTGAAATAAGAAAAATTTCAGTGGGTGAAGCATAAAAGATATATGCAAATTATAACAAAACACAGCCAAATTACTGGCAGGGAGTCTGGATAACTGCTGAAGTTTGAGTGCAGGAAATGAAAGTACTAACCGCTTAAGCCATATCATAGATCTGTGGAGAGCAATGAAAATGCAAGTACTTCCAACCACTTCCTGCATAAGATTATAAATGACCGATGAAAGTCCCATATATCATGGCATATAATTATTTTCTCATAAATAATATGTTAGTAAAATATGCACTTCAGATCAGTAGGATAACTTTGTAGAATATTAAAATCTTGAAGTTACAAGCATGTAAACTTTTTTATTCTATGATAAACAAATTTTTCCTGTAGGACATATAATGGCATGAATAACAGGAATGGAGATGCTATGTGAATCATTACCCTCTATTACCGGCCCCAACACCCCCCCCCCCCAAAAAAAAAAAAAGAAAAAAAAATCATAATAATAAATAAAAATAAAAAAATACAAGAAAAGAAAAGAAAAGAAAAATTAACATGCACATGCACCAAGACAAAGAAGGTGAAGAAAGATGTGCCCAAAATAGAGTCCCCAGAAAGTTTAACCAGTAAATGCATAAGCAGTTGGAAGCATTGAACAAAAGGCAGCATAGGGATCTTTAGAAGCAAATCAGGATGATCAGCAAGGCCAGGAAGAGTAAATGACCTCATCACTGGGAAAGACAAAGGTTGATGGTCTCAGGTTGTGATAGTCTTTCAAGCAACTCAATGGCTTGAAACCTAGAAGACGAAGATGCCCAGTTGAGACTCTCTTAATTTCTGAAAGCTCCTCAACTGTAAACTTAATAGTTTCACTGTAAAGTGAGAAAAGGAAGTCTAGTGAGTATTCAGTTCATGATAACAAAAATACCCGGGTATCAATAATAAGACAATAATAAGCAACTTCTTGATTTCAAATAATCATGTACTGTTGCTGAACAAATAACTGCATAAAATCCAGAGTAACAATTTATTGTCCAAGAAGCTCTAATAATTTAACACTCTAAAGGCTTGCAAATCACCAATAGAAGCTCAGGACTAAGCTAACATTGTGTCATATCATACTTCTTGTAAGGTTGAAAACGTTTTGCAGGCTCCTTCATTAGTGCACCAGTATCCGCACAGAGGAATGATCTTTCAGTCTGCATGATAATTAGACAAAACAGCTGATTCAAACTATATCTTACAACCAGTCTACCCAAAAAAAGTGACAAATGCATTAGCCAAAATTTAAACAGAAAAAGTTAGATTTTAATTAGCAGGGTATAATACCTCATTGGTGGACAAACTTTGGAATAGCTGGCTTTTCTTTGTCTTTAGGTACCATTTCTAATGAAGTAATACTTAGGAGTTGAGATATTTTGGTAATCATAATTTATTGGACAACCAGTAATTTCACTCTTGCTTCATCATGTAGGACATAAGGGCCTTTCGTTGGATTAGATGGCTTAGGAGTCAAAACTCTTTATTTTGTAAATAAATAGTCCTTTATTGTTAATGAAAAGGAATGCTCTTGGGTCCATGGTCAGCTAAGATAATGCTTTTGATTTGATAAAGAATTATCTTAGACTTGTTTGTAACAACTGTGAAAGTCTTCATGATCCAAACCCCCGCATGTAAACTGAAAGAACCTCTGCTAGGAATACTCCCAGTGCTTTCTCCTAGTCTCATCTTTTTTTAAAGTTCTTATATACTAGGATATTCTACAGATCCAACAGTTACATTCTGACATTCTTCACATAGTTTGCACCCAAATTAATCTGTGGATAAGCCTAATCAATCCCCTTGTTTATTTAGATAATCTAACTTAGGGGAAGGGGAAAGGGAGGTGGGGGACTCAAACCTGGAACACTTGGGGATTAAACAACTATAACCCCCCACTCAAGCCAACTTGAATAGGCACTCCATCCCTTTATTCAATCTCATAACAATTTTACAAAATGAACTAAAGCCAGCAAGCAAACTAACTTGTCCAGCAACTCCACAACAGGCCCTTATTCATGCTCACAGTCATTTCAAGTAACGGGTCAAGCTGTTGATCACACAAATGTAAACCCAGGTCCCAAATTATTCCAATACTTTTACTAGAAGAAAAACAAAAAAAGAAGGGGAACAAAAAGGCCAACCCCAGAAGTTTTTGAGACCTGTTCAAGGACAGAGACCTTCTCTGCATTTTAATGACAACTGAGGAAGCAGCACAAATGTCTTGGAAAACTTAAGCCACCTCTTAATAAAATCCATTAATCACAACATGAGAGGCACAAGCATTCTGCTCAATACTCCACACATGCACTTTGTGCCCAGCATGCTTGCCATTTGAAATACTAGAAGTGCGACAGTTTTTAACCATGATAAAAAAACAAGAAATTAGAGTCTAAACTACGAAGTCAGGACATGCTATACAGGGTAAAAGAAAGGCAAGGCATTGGCAAAAATAATCTCCCTATCAGATGGCAAGTAGAAATTGGTGGCCAATATCTATCAAAGCTTAATTAAAGTAATATATGTAACTTATCCAGTGTTCCTTTTCCTATACTCTATAGGTACTCCATTCCCTTACAAGTATAACTCATCAACTTTGAGCATTCATATAAAATGAATAAAAGCCCAAGTATAAAGTCAATTTGTTAAAGTTAAACTAATGTACAGGAGAAAGCTCAAAAGACACACGGATATGGTTGCCAGTGATAAAAGATTATTGCCCATACATAGGGGACATGATTTCATATAGAGCTAAATGGAGGTGAGTGAGTACTGTTTATGTGAATATCTAGCCAAGTAAAATGAATAAATGCCCAAGTATAAAGTCAATTTGTTAAAGTTAAACTGATGTATAGGGGAAAGCTCAAAAGACACGTGGATATGGTTGCCAGTGATAAAAGATTATTGCCCATACATAGGGGACATGATTTCATATAGAGCTAAATGGAGGTGAGCGAGTACTGTTTATGTGAATATCTAGCCAAGTAACAAGATGTAAGAATACAGCACCTTCAGTGGAACATTGGACACAGCATCAAGCCAGGTAATTTTCCCTGAGAATGATACATATACATTACTAGCATTGACCTAAATTGACAGTGCTATCCAAATCATAACTTGTGCTGCACTTAAAGAGAAATGAGCACAAGATAGACAATATCCATAATAAAAAGATTATAACAACAGGGACATGCATACCTGGATTAGTTGGCCGAATTAAAGCATATGTATTTAGTTCTATGGATATACCATTGGCGATTGAAAATGTAATTCTTCGAATTTTGCGCTTCCTGAACATGCGCTTTCTCAATTGATCTTTCATGTCTTCAAATCTGAAAATAAAAATTTAATTGTTGATATACCAGAAAACTGACAAATATGAAAACTAAAAAAAGAAAAGGCTTAGGTAAATAGAAAGTCTAAACCTAATGGTGGATCATCCACAGTATAAGCCCAATAAAGGTTAGGCACAAAAGTAACCAAATTGGCCAGAAATGATTACATCATATAGATACCATTTATGGAAAAATATGCCCAAATTTGATCTCTTTTTTAACAGAATATATAAAAATTTAAAAGTTTCATGAAGTCAATGTTTAAGTTCATGATAAAACAACTAAGGATATACAAACTATTTCATTAGACTTGTTTGGTAAACTGTTTCTGCAAGAATTTTCTGAAAACAAGCCCACTTATAAATAATAACCTTCCTTTGCTTTGAAGTTTTTTAAAAATTATAAAAAAAAATGGAGAGAGAGAGAGAGAGAGAGAGAGAGAGAGCAGTAGTGCTTTCAAAATTTCAAGGCAAATAACCAAAAAAGAAAACAGGAACTAATTTCTTCCTCCAAGTTAGAGCATGACATAAAGATCATTCAAGGAAACCTTGCAAATGAAAAGGCTAAAAATAGCCCACCTCTGTCCTGCTGATGCCAAAAACTGAGTAAGATCATTACCCTCCAATCCAAGCAAGTCCTAGTACACAAAAGCTTTACTTAAAAACACATAATCATTAATTAAGCTTAATGAAGCACTCAAAATATGAAGAGTGAACTCACAGCATAGAAAAGGGATACATTAAACTGTTCATCAGGCCTACTTAAGGGAAGTAATTCAATTGAGATACCAAGATCTTGCGCATCCTGAAAAAGAGCCAATGAGTTGATTTTAGCCTTGAATCCTTAGATTTCCTTCAAGGCCATAATTGAAGTTGTGATCAAATCCGATCATTACTTTGGCTCGCTGCAATGTTGTCCTTGTCATGTCCATCTTCGTGACACCCTTAATATTACCAAAAGGATTGTCTTCATTTGTGAACAATAGTATTCTTTTATCAGCTGTTTTTGCAGATCTGAAATAATTTCCTTGCAACCGTTTTCAAAAGCTAGATTGATGCATCTCAATAATAAAATATTGAAAGACAGTCTCAGGGTAAAGAAACAGAAACTGGAGATTACCCTTTACGCAGCAGTGCTTGTGCAACCCACAGAGCATTATAAAGAGAATTATCACGGGAGCCAGACAATATACCATACTGGCTCCCTATTTCTTTAGTAAATGATTCTGCATAAATTTCAAGAATCACGCATTGCTTTCACTTCAACAACTTTAAAAAACCAAACAGGCAGTTGGTTAAAATTTGCCAATTGTCCAAAGCTTACAAGTGTTGCATGCAGAAAAACATGAATTTGAGCACAATCAGACCTCAAAACAATCAAAATTATCACACACATCAAGGAGACCAAGCAGAGTCTTAACAAATGCCATAGTGTACCAGTCATTCCAATTGACGTATGCTTAAGGTTCTCTGATTCACCATCCTGGGGTTTCAAATCATGCATGATTTGGAAGTTAGCAGGCACACGCTGTTGATTCATGAATTTCTTGAATCTACTTCATCAATTCATACTTTCAACTCATGAAATTCACAGATTCAAGACCACTGCCAATCCAAACAGAAACAATGCCATCTTACTATTGATTTCAAGTAAATACGAGTTGACAGCAGTCATCCCCATCAATGCACTAACTTCAAACAACATTATTGCAAGTTTGTTTTGGTTTTCTTTTTTAAAGGAATACACACATACCCTATGCTTCTAGGTCTGAAATAACAAAATACATAATTATTAGAAACAAATTAGCTTGCTATAAATATCTAACAATAGTATATATAGAGAATCTGGTATTTGAATCCCATGCATTCTCAACCTCACATTGACAACACTGCTTAATGAACTAGTTACTAATTTATGGAATTTAGAAGACCAAAGAGAAGCTTATTGGGAAAGCTGACCTCAAAGCGTAAGTTAATTTCTTGAATACATGAAAATATCTATTATCAGATGTTTAGTTCATATGTTAATAGGCAGCTTGCATCCCAAAGTGTTTTATGCAATTTTATATCAATAACACTAGCTGTTTTGGGGGTTCCACCATTTATTGACACAAAAAATGAGGGGCAGGATGAAAAGAAAGAATACACTTAAGTGAAAGCCATTAAACATCTTATCCATGTAAAGAATCATGTTTGAACTTAAAAAAAATTGAAACGATAGACCATCAAATTAAAATGTAGAAGTTTCAGGGACCAACGTGTCTAATTGAATGCTGTAATCCAAACAAATATACATACATAAAAGCTTCCTAAAAGCTTTAAAACAAATCTAGCATATGTAAAACGAAAAAAGAGATAACTAAACTGAAAAGAAGGGGCCTGGCTTTCATTTTCGTTTTGCTTTTAGAGGCTCCAAACCAGCAAGTAATATCAGGAATTGCTCAAAGTGTGATTTTAAACTGCAGTCATCTTATGTGAGGCTAAGAGTTAGCTACAGATTATGATCATAATGTAACTTGTCATCATCATCAAACAACAATATACAAAAGCATTCAACCTTTAATCAATAAAAGAAACAAAAAAAATTAATAACAATAATATGAGTTACAGCACATAAATTCAACAAGAACCGTATAACTACAACTTACTCTAGCAGGCATTCATGAACATTGAATTAAAGG